GACTCACTGTACGTGTGCTCGGACCGGCCGACACCTGGCCACGTTTTCCCGTGCGCCTGGCTCGAGTCTGTACACCCTGACCACTGAGTCCCCTCAGGTAGCTGCGTCTGCGTCTGCGTCAGGTCAGCCGACGGCCCCCTGCGAGTGTCGTGCTTTGTCGCACCAGACCCTCCTGTGGCACCACCGCCTTGGTCACCCCTCGGTGCAGCGCCTTCGTGGCATGCACTCTCGCTTCCTGGTTTCTGGTCTTCCCAGGTCTTTGCCTGCCCTGCCTCCCTCGCTTGCGCCGCCCTGCATTCCTTGCGTCGAGGGGCGGCAGCGCGCCACTCCTCACTCCTCGTTCCCTCCCACAGAGGCTCCCCTGCAGACTCTCCACCTGGACGTGTGGGGCCCCGCCCGCGTCCGTGGACAGGGCCACGAGCGGTACTTCCTGCTGGTTGTTGACGACTACACGCGTTACACCACGGTCTTTCCCCTGCGCAGCAAGGGGGAGGTCCCTGCTGTTTTGATCCCTTGGATCCGCGCTACCCGTCTCCAGCTCCGCGAGCGGTTTGGGACGGAGTTTCCCGTCCTGCGTCTGCACTCTGACAGAGGTGGTGAGTTCTCCTCAGACCTCTTGGCAGCCTTCTGTGCGGAGCACGGCATCACCCAGTCGTTCACGCTTCCGGACTCTCCGCAGCAGAATGGGGTTGCTGAGCGCCGCATTGGCTTAGTCATGGAGGTCGCTCGTACCTCCATGATCCATGCGGCTGCCCCCCATTTTCTGTGGCCGTTTGCGGTCCGGTACGCCGCGCATCAGCTCAACCTCTGGCCCCGTGTCTCCTTGCCGGAGACCTCGCCCACACTGCTGTGTTCGGGGAAGGTTGGCGATGCGTCGCGTTTCCGGGTCTGGGGTGCTCGTGCCTTTGTCCGCGATACCACTGCGGACAAGCTCTCCGCCCGTGCAGTTCCCTGTGTCTTCCTTGGCTTTGTCCCTGACGCGCCTGGTTGGCAGTTTTACCACCCCACCTCGCGCCGTGTCTTTGCGTCTCAGGACGTCACGTTCGATGAGTCGGTTCCCTTTTACCGTCTCTTCCCCTACCGCACTGCCCCTCTCCCTCCCCCGCCGCTCTTCCTCGCTCCAGGTGCTCCCCAGGTAGACCCCCTCCCCGCTCCCGGTCCTGCTCCTTCAGGTGTGTCTCAGGTAGACCCTCCTCCCTTCCCTGCGCCGGTCGAGGTCACTGGTGACTCAGGTCCTACTGGGGGTGGTCCTGCTCGGGGTGCTACTTCTGGGGGTGCTGAGCCTGGGGGTGCGGAGCTTGAGAGTGTGGAGCCTGGAGGTGCTGAGCCTGCGTGTGAGGGGTCTGGAGGTGCTGGAGCTAGTGGTTCTGGGGCTGCTGAGGGTGCGGGCGCTGGAGGTTCTGGAGCTGCTGGAGGTCCTGGTGCTGGTGGCGCTGGAGCTGGTGGTTCTGGGGCTGCTGAGGGTGCGAGCGCTGGAGGTTCTGGAGCTGCTGGAGGTCCTGGTGCTGGTGGCGCTGGAGCTGCTGAGGGTGCTGGCGCTGAGGGTTCTGAGTCTGCTGTTGCGCGGTCTCCTTGGAGTAGCCGCCTTCGTCCACGTGTGCCTCTCACCTCACAGCAGCTGCACGACTGGTACGGTCGCCGTCAGGTTCGCGCTGCTGGAGCCCGGGGCTCTACTGCTGGAGGTACTTCTGCTGACGTCCCTGGAGCTAGGAGTGGTGCTGGTACTTTGTCTGCTGGAGGTGCTGGAGTCGCTGGTTCCGGAGGTGCTCGTACTGGAGGTACTGGAGCTGCTGGGGCTGGGGGTGCTGCGTCTGGAGGTGCTGCTGCTGGAGACGTGGAGGCTGGAGACCCTGGGACTAGAGGTGCTGGTTCTGGGGGTGCTGCTGCTGGAGGCACTGGGGTTGGAGACCCTGGGCCTGGAGGTGTCGGTTCTGCTGCTGGAGCTTCTGGAGCTGCTGGAGGTGCTGGAGCTGCTGGAGGTACTGGAGCTGCTGGAGCTGCCGGTACTGGTGCAGCTGCGCCGCCACGACTGTTCTTCGCTCCACCGTCTCCGTCGTCTCTGCCGCCGCCTGACTCTGTTCTTCGTCAGGTTCTTACTCTCCCGTCGTCTACTGGTCTTCCGTTACAGCCTGGCTCACCGCTGCCTGCTCCTTCTCCTTACACTGAGCAGACAGGTAGTCTTGCTGAGCGTCGTGAGCCTGCGTCGCGTCCAGTCTCGCCTGTTCGTCCTAGTCGTACCGGTCGTCGTGTTCCTCGTCCGCGTCAGCCGGCTGTCCCCGGCACACGCCTTGTAGCCCTGCGTCGGTCCCCTACTCCGGAGCGTACTCCTCTTCCGTCTCCCCCTGCGTCCTCTTTGCCTGACGTCGCGGACCCTGAGTCTGACCGGTTTCGTGCTGAGCACCCTACTGTCACGCGTCTGCTAGCCACTGTTGTCACTGACCCGTCCTTTGAGTCTGCTGTTGCGTCTGCCTTAGTCGCTGAGCTTGTTGACTTTGCTGCTGCCTGTCGTCTAGACTACGCTGCTAGTCTTGTTGCTGAGTCTGAGTCTGTCTGTCCTCCGTCCGTCGGGGGTGAGTGTGCCCTTGGCACGGACGTCCTTGAGGACAGGCACGAGGACCTTGAGTCTCTTGCAGCCGCTGCGCCTCATCTCGTGGCCATGCTGCTTGCCCCTGAGGGAGACCCGGATGCTATAGACATCCCCACACCGCGCTCTTACGCTGAGGCGATCGCGGGTCCCTACTCCTCTCAGTGGCAGGCAGCCATGGACGCAGAGATGGCATCCTGGAAGTCCACAGGCACTTACGTCGATGAGGTTCCCCCTCCCGGGGCGAACATCGTCGACGGCATGTGGATTTTCAGGGTGAAGCGGCCGCCAGGTTCTCTGCCTGTCTTCAAGGCGCGTTACGTTGCTCGAGGCTTCAGTCAGCGAGAGGGAGTTGACTTCTTCCAGACCTTCTCTCCCACCCCGAAGATGACTACTCTTCGGGTGCTGCTGCACGTTGCCGCACAGCGTGACTACGAGCTTCACTCCCTTGACTTCAGCACAGCTTTCCTACAGGGCAGCCTGCACGAGGAGATCTGGTTGCGCCGCCCACCTGGCTTCACTGGGACGTTCCCTCCTGGTACCCAGTGGAGCCTCCGCCGGCCAGTCTACGGTCTCCGCCAGGCACCCCGTGAGTGGCACGACACACTGAGGACTACCCTTGCGGCTCTTGGGTTTGCGCCTTCGACTGCTGACCCTTCACTGTTTCTACGCACCGACACTTCGCTGCCGCCGTTCTATATCCTCGTGTACGTCGACGACTTGGTCTTTGCTACTGCTGACACTGAGGCCCTCGACCTGGAGAAGTCCGAGCAGCAGAAGAGACACACGTGCACAGACCTGGGTGAGCTGCGCAGCTACCTTGGCTTGCAGATCACCCGGGACCGAGCACGCCGCACCATCACACTGACTCAGTCACACATGGTGCAGCAGGTCCTTCAGCGCTTCGGCTTCACCTGGTCCTCAGCACAGGCCACTCCTCTGGCTATAGGTCACTCGCTCTCAGCTCTGCCTTCGGATGAGTCCGTAGAGCCGAGTGGTCCTTACCCAGAGCTAGTGGGCTGCCTCATGTACCTGATGACTTGCACTCGTCCTGACCTTGCGTACCCTCTTGGCCTTCTGGCTCGCTACGTGGCTCCTGGTCGGCACCGAAAGGTGCACTGGGATGCTGCGAAGAGGGTACTGCGCTACTTGTGCAGTACATCGGGCATGGGGCTCGTGCTTGGAGGACGGCGAGAGGTGGTCCTCACTGGGCACTCAGACGCTTCTTAGGTTGACGACCAGGCTATACAGCGGTCGTCACAGGGTTACACTTTCAGCCTTGGCTCTGGTTCTGTTTCTTGGCGTTCTACTCGCTCGTCTTCTGTTCTCAGCTCCAGTTGTGAGGCTGAGATCTACGCCACCGCCATGGCTGCTCAGGAGTTACGCTGGCTCACCTACCTGCTGACCGACCTGGGAGAGCGGCCTCGTTCTCCTCCAGTGCTGTACGTCGACAACAAGGCTGCTATTGCCTTGTGTGAGGAGCACAGACTGGAGCACAGAACGAAGCACATCGCTCTGCGGTACTTTCTGGCTCGAGAGCTGCAGCAGCGTGGTCAGCTTTGTCTTGCACACGTGGCCACTAGGGCCAACACTGTTGATATATTCACCAAGGCACTTCCGTCTGGTGATCATCAGCGCTTTTGTACTTTGTTAGGCCTTGTGCCTACGTTTCCACACTTGCTGTAGTCTTTTGTGTGTACTGTGTTCTATATTTATACCTGCATGCTTGCTCTTGCTAGGTACTTATCACTGTACTGCTCTTGTTGCTTATATATATCTCTGCATGTGGACTGGCCTTGCGGCCCTTTGCTTGTGCTCAGAATGTGTGGTGACGTTGAGATCCACCCTGAGCTTGCTTTGCGTCTCTTGACTGGTCGTGTGACCCCTTGTTCTCCCCCACTTTGCCTATGGGGGTGTGTCAAACATGTATGCTGCATATTGTCTAGGCTGTAGTGGGGTAGCCCATATGGGGTACAACTAAATTAGGGTTTCCTACTTGTACTCCTGCATGCTGTTAGTTCATCATTCCTGCTGCCAGATTCTAACAGTTTCTCATCAATTCTCTCACAAATTTCCCTATCTAGTTTCGAAGGTATTCATAATTTTATTCGTTCTCATGTCCATGAAAGCGACTCTAATTTTATTCCGATTTCTCTCACCTCAGACATGTACCTCCGTGTCTACATCTAATGTTTGTTTGTTTGAAAGTCATAGCATTCAAGCTTGGAGTTATTACATCTCTGAGTGTACATTATAAAGGTTTCAAAGGTAAATTCGATTTACACAGGTTGTTCTAAAGCAATAAAGCTCAAACGACAGAACCATGTTATACCGTGAGGGAAACGACTGAACCGAGTCATTATCAGTTTGCGAGCTAACTTTTCTTGTGCGTCCGCTGGAGTGTGCATGATGGGCTATGGCTTCCAGCGTTACCCCCTCATCTGGTTCCGCCCGAATTTCACGGGGAGTGGACCGGCAGCCTTATGCTAACGCCGATGCGACTCTGCGATCGCTTGCGGGAGCCGCCGAAGGGTTCGGATCGCAGTGCATCGGCGGGAGAGACGGCGAAATTTACACCGTTACTTCCCTCGCAGGTAACTTCGGAGCCCGTTGGCGAACATTCGCTTTTCGCTGGCGCGAAAGGTTATGGTAGCCGTCGAATGATTTCGGATCGCAGTCGGTCGGAGGAAACACACCTTGCTAGTAATTCGCGGAGTGATGATTAGTAGGGCGCGACTTTGTTGTTCATTCACATATATGAGTAACTGTAGTAATTTCCGAGGCGACTCTCCTTGCCACAGCGAGCAGGCACCGATTCTCGCATTCTGAGAGTGGCACGCCTGCAAGCACACATTATGAGACCCCTGAGAACACGCACAAGCGGCCGAGCACAAGGGGGAGTGGTTGATCGCCTTTGCTGCTCTGTTAGGGGTGTTTTATGCCTCTCAACGTCCTCTCTCTCTCTCTCTCTCTCTCTTTCTCTCTCTTAGAGAGAGAGAGCTCTCTCTCGAGATCTCTCTCTCTCTCTCTAGAGAGCGAGCTCTCTCTCGAGGAGAGATCTCTCGAGCTCTCGCTCTCTCCTCTCTATATCTATATCTCTCCCTCTCTCTCTCTATCTCTCTCTCTCTCTCTCTCTCTCTCTCTCTCTCTCCCTCTCTCTCTCTCTCTCTCTCTCTCTCCCTCTCTCTCTCTCTCTTTCTCTCTCTCTCTCTCTCTCTCTCTCTCTCTCTCTCTCTCTCTCTCTCTCTCTCTCTCTCTCTCTCTCTCTCTCACTCTCTCCCTTCTTTCTTCCACCAGACAGCGGTCCCAACACTCTAAGGGACGCCTGCAAGCACAAGGCAGCAGCGAGGCGGATCGTCTTTGCTGTCTCGGGCACCATCTGCCTCTCCTCGCCCATCCGAGTGCCCTCCAGGCCACACAATGTGGTAGTATCTTTCTCTCTCCCTTCTTCTCTCCCTTCTTCTCTCCCTTCTTCTCTCCCTTCTTCTCTCCCTTCTTCTCTCCCTTCTTTCTTCCACCAGACAGCAGTCCCAACACTTTGAGAGATGCCTGCAAGCATAGAGCAGCGGCGCGGTGGACCATGTTGGCTGTTCTGGTGAAGGGTGTCATTACCTCTCAACCTCCTCTCTCTTCTCTTCTTCTTCCCTCAGACAGCGGTCCCAACACTCTAAGGGACGCCTGCAAGCACAAGGCAGCAGCGCAGTGGATCGTCTTTGCTGTCTCGGGCACCATCTGCCTCGCCTCGCCCATCCGCGTGCCCTCCTTCACCACCATAGATGGCCGCGGACAGAGGGTGAGTTGTTGTTTCAGGGCGAATGGATTGGTGACAGCTTCGTTTCCCCAGTTGGTACCCCATGGTTGCCCCCTCGCCTCGCCCATCCGAGTCGTGTGCCCTCCTTCACCACCATAGACGGCCGAGGGCAGAGGGTGAGTGCTCGTTTTAGGTCAAATGGGGAGGTGACAGCTTCAGCCTCCATTTTCGCCCAGTTGCTGCTTGCCCCCCAGTTGCTGCTTGCCCCCCAGTTGCTGCTTGCCCCCCAGTTTAATGCCTCTCTCCACCGCCCTCAAGTTGACTGCCCCTCTCCTCGCCCATCCGAGTGCCCTCTTTCACCATCATAGACGGCCGAGGGCAGAGGGTGAGTTGTTCTTTTTAAGATAGAGCGATTTTGTGTCAGGAGAGACGGTAAGTTGTTGTTGTTGATGTTGCTTGTTTGTTTGTTCGTTTGTTTATTTGTTGTTCATATGTATAAACATGTATATACATATATTATGTATAAGAGGCATCAGAACAGGAACCTTTTTCCATCTCGTCAAGTTGAATACTACCTTGATACCTGGTTGTAAAAAAAAAAAAAAAACAAAAAAAAACAAAACCCCTCTTCACCTACTCTATTTCCTTCCTCCTCCTCATCCACCCACCCTCCAATCCTCTCCCGCTCTCCCTCTCCCCGTTTTTTTTACCTTGTACGGTCCAGTTTTTCATCTGGTCTGGTTACATCCTCCTTTCCTCCTGCAGGTGGTAATTCAGGGTGCCGGCCTACAGCTGCGTGGCTCGCAGCACGTGATCCTCTGTTGTTTTCACCTGACAGGTGGCCGGGGCCACGATGCAGATGCGATCCAGATGAAACCCCAGGTGGCACACGTGTGGGTGGACCGATGCTCTCTGTCGGATTATGACGATGGGTTGATTGATATAACAAGAGGGTCGACGGATGTGACTATATCGAGGTAATGGTGTAGCTCTCTTAATTGAAGTTGAGTTCGCATGGCGTGCAGCGGGATTGGGAGGGGATTGTGAGCTGTATAGCTCTGGAACAAAGAACAGGTGAATTCTGAACAGATGCGATCCAGATGAAACCCCAGGTGGCCCACGTGTGGGTGGACCGATGCACACTGTTGGATTATGATGATGGTCTGATTGACATAACAAGGGGTCAACTGATGTGACTATATCGAGGTTAAAGTGGGGGTGACCTTTTAGTCAAGTCAAAGTCACCACGCTTGTTTTCTTAGATGACTCACTTTGACTTCTCCCACCTTCCATATGCCTTGTAACCCATATGCCTTGTAACCCATATGCCTTGTAACCCATATGCCTTGTAACCCATATGCCTTGTAACCCATATGCCTTGTAACCCATATGCCTTGTAACCCATATGCCTTGTAACCCATATGCCTTGTAACCCATATGCCTTGTAACCCATATGCCTTGTAACCCATATGCCTTGTAACCCATATGCCTTGTAACCCATATGCCTTGTAACCCATATGCCTTGTAACCCATATGCCTTGTAACCCATATGCCTTGTAACCCATATGCCTTGTAACCCATATGCCTTGTAACCCATATGCCTTGTAACCCATATGCCTTGTAACCCATATGCCTTGTAACCCATATGCCTTGTAACCCATATGCCTTGTAACCCATATGCCTTGTAACCCATATGCCTTGTAACCCATATGCCTTGTAACCCATATGCCTTGTAACCCATATAACCCAGGTGCAGACCAAATGCCCGTCATCGCCCCTCACTCCCTCCCACCCCTCCCCCTTCCCCATCACAACAAAACGATTCTGATAGGTGCGGATTCAAACGCCCGCCTCTCACCTGCCATCACCCTCCCCCTCTTCTTCCTCTCCAGGTGTCACTTTTACAACCATGACAAAACTATGCTGATAGGTGCGGATCCGAAGCACACGGAGGATTGGGGCATCCGAGCCTCCATCCACCACTGCTTCTTCGATGGCACGAAGCAGAGGCACCCGCGGGTTAGGTTCGGCAAAGTGCATTTGTACAATGTGAGTCAGGGCAATCAATAATTCTTTTGCCAGTTTATATAATCGAATAGCGTTGAAAGTGAGTATGGCCAATCAATGTTATAGTTTATCTCAATAACCATAAGGACTTTTGAGACGTCTCAAAAGCCAATCAATGTTCTAGTTTATCTCAATAACCATAAGGTGCATTAGTCAGGGCGATTAGTGCATCGGTCAACTTCAGTAACATTCAAGCATATGCACGTGCACACATGGGGGGTTGTCTACGCTGTGTTAGTGCGAAAAAAAAAAGGTCTCAAAAGCAACTCAATATGCCGCCGTCCCTCCTTCCCTCTGTCACTTCCTATCTTTGCTGCCTACTTTTGAGGCGCCTCAAAACTAGACCCCCGTCCCTCCTTCCCGTTGTCACTTTCTATCTGTGCTGCTGTGCAGAACTGCATGTGATGCGTGGTGTTCAAGACTTGTTTTGAACGAATCAATCCTTCCTCCCTTCCCCATCACGTCTTTCTCTCTCTCTCTCTTTTGTGGTGCCATGTGCAGAATTACACACGTGACTGAAGGGATTACTCTATGTTTGCAAGAAATGTCTTGAACAAATCAGATCTTTCCCCCCATTCCCATCGCATCTCCCTCTGTTTTGTGGTGCCATGTGCAGAACTACACGCGTGACTGGGGGGTCTATTTTTGAGTCGACTCAAAAGCAGACTCGAAATCAAACCTTCCTCCTTCCCCGTCCTATCTCCCCCTCTGTTTTGTGGTGCCATGTGCAGAACTACACGCGTGACTGGGGGGTCTATGCTGTGTGTGCGAGTGTCGAAGCACAGGTGATAGCTGGTGGTGGTGTGTTGATGTGTTGGTGTGTTGATGTGTTGGTGTGTTGGTGTGTTGGGGTGCTGATGTGGTGGTGTGTGTTGATGTGTTGGTGGGTTGGTGTGGTGGTGTGTTGGTGTGTTGGTGTGCTGATTTGTTGATGTGTTGATGCCAGTTCTTGTGCTTCCTTAGGTGCTGGTGTGAGGAGGAGCAATTGGTGGGGAGAGTTTATGGAAGTGAGTCTACGAATCAAAACCACAAGAAAGATGAAGGAGTGGCGTAAAGGAGTGTTTCAAGTCAACCCTAAACCCTGAAACAGTTGTGTCCAATTTCTTTCATCAGAGGCAAGATGGGACATGAAACAGAGTTTCCATACAAGGGTGGGAGGTTCAGACGATGCTCACATCATGCATTTATTTTGACGACTTTTTGGCCCGTCTTCCCTTCTGCCGTTCTCCGCCTCCCTCTCTGTACCTTGCATTGTGTTGCTGGTGTCGTATGGTGAATCTCCACAACTGTGCGTTTCTGTGTTGCATGTGCCTGTGTTCGTGTGCATATGTGAGTGCATGCGTGTATTTTTTGTGTTTTTATTTCTCTTCAGGTCTTCTCCCAGAACTGTATTTAGGGTGACTTTTGAGTCGACTCAAAAGTGTATTTGTGTTTTTTTTTCTCTTCAGGTCTTTTCCCAGAGCTGTATATACGAAGCAGGAAAGAAGAAGAAAACATTTGAGTACTATTCCGAGCAGGTGGGATCGCCTTCAAGCTTTTTTAAATACCTTGACGTGACATATAGATGCTGTCATATGAGGTGACATATAGATGCTGTCATATGAGTATCAGTCTTCTAGGCAGGCACCTCGGCAGTTGAGGCACCTCGGCAGTTGACTTATCCGCATCACAAATCTTCGAGCATCATGCAGAGCGTTTGTGTGGCCCAACGTCTTCCACTCCCCTCTCCGTCCCTCCTGGGTGTACATGACTGCAACATGCTATGTTTTCTCCCCATGCCCCTCTCACCAGGCGCCTGACAGGCCCGCCCCTGGGAGTGGCAGCCTCAAGAGTCCCAAGGCGACCCGTTTCCCAATGGCGCGCATGGCAAGGAGCAGGGCAGCGAGTGGAGTGGGAGTTTGGCACTCTAGTGAATCCTTTCATGTCTTCCATTCCCCTTTCTCTCCCTCCCTCCAGACGCCTGATAGGCCAGCCCCAGCAAGTGGCAGCCTCAAGTCCCAAGGCGATGCGTTCCTCAATGGGGCACAGGGCAAGGAGCAGGGCAGCGAGGGGGTGTTTGCCACTCAAGTGACCTCTCAAATGTGTTCCAACCCCCTCCCTCTCTCCCACCCACCAGGCGCCTGAGAGGGCAGAACCTGCAAGTGGCAGCCTCAGGTCTCAAGGCGATGCGTTTCTCAACGGCGCGCAGGGCAAGGAGCAGGGCAGCGAGGGGATGTTTGACACCTAGTGAATTTCAGAATATGTTTCATCACCCTCTCTCCCTCACCCACCCACCAGGCACCTGACAGGGCAGAACCTGCAAGTGGCAGCCTCAAGTCTCAAGGCGACTTGTTTTTGAACGGCGCGCAGGGCAAGGAGCAGGGCAGCGAGGGAGTGTTTGACCCTGGCCACGTGTACACCTGTGATTGGTCGCTGTGGGGGCAGTGCAGCCATGAGGCGGTTGTGGCTTGTGCCGGCTGGCAGGACGTGCCTTTGCCAGCAGATGTCTAGAGTTTTGACTCTTGTTGACTTGACTGAATGGCTGGTAGGGTGATCCTCTGCCCGCAAACGTATCGAGCCTGACTCTTGTTGACTTGCGTTGACTGTCTCAGGTAGCACATGTGCCAGATGGCAGGACGTGCCTTTGCCAGGAGACGTGTAGCGGTGATGGCTGATGGTGTCTAGGTGATTCTTGTTGACTCGCGTTGACTGGATGGTTGACAGAATAGACTGGTTGACAGAATAGACTGGCTGGCAGATGCTCCACTGCCAGCAGATTTTTAGAGTGCCGATTGATGGTTGGTTCACTGTCGGTTACAGAAACAGAACCATGTTGGAAGGAAGTGAGGCGGTTTCATCCTCCTGTTGTATGGTGCCTTTTTATGCTAGACTTCAAAGGACGGTAGTTCCAGATTGTTGTGGCATCAATGCGTACCCTAGATCTCGTGGTGGAAGTTGAATTGTGCAGCAATAGCCTGCGGGGTGGTTGGTTGGTTTCGTACACGAAGTGCTACAGAGAGACTCCTGTGCTGAGCACACACAGAGATGTGCTAACGTTTCCTGACGTGAGGAGATAAGGTGGTGATACCTTCAAAGCGCATTGCACAAATGCACATTATAAACACGCAATCCATGGGAGACAAAGCATATACAGAGCTCATGGCGGTCATGTTGTCGATGGCTTCTCCCTTGAGGGAGCATATAGGGCACTATTTGGCCCTAGATTCCCAGTAGAGGTCAATAATTTCACCCAGACACTTCATAAGATCACCTCCTGCTTCTCCACTCAACGCCTTCTCTTCCGCACGTGCCAGCATGTCTTCTAACGCGGATGGAACCTCGGGATCGTGGCGAACCATCAGTGAGCCAATCTCGAAAACAGTTCGATTTGCAGCCGAACCTTTCTTGAGCAGGAGCGTCGCCGCGCGAAACACGCGCGAGCACGCGTATTTCACGGCCCATCCATTCGCCTGCAGCAGCGACAGATCAGCTTCGGCATCAAGTCTCGCGATATATTCCCTGACTTCCTCGCTTAGAGGCTGCTTCGCTTGAGGCCAGTACAACCATTCAAATGTACAGTCTTCCAGCGTTTCCGGAAGGCAGTATCCGTGGTCGATCGGAATCAGCTTCAGATCTGCGCCGTCGCTTTTCACCAGGATGTTGGCGCCGTTCCGATCCGCGTTCGCCAGCCGCATATCCAGAATCGCGATTTTATGAACCTCAGAAGCAGCGAACCGAGCCGGGCCCATGTCCTCGCAATTGCTTATAGCGGGGACAAAGTGCTGCAACGATCCAATCTTCCTTATACCGAGCTCAGCCGACGACAGGCAGCCCAAGATTGAAACTGGAGAACCCAATGAAGACGGAAAATATTTTACATCGCAAGTAACCAACGAGGTTCGAGGCACTCCTGCGAAACCCTCAGCATCGCCTTCACGAAGCGGGTGGTCCAGAAGATACGCTGCGACTTCGCGAAACGCTCCTTCGCCAACGCGAGTTCCACGCTTCAATCCTTCGCCCGTTAAGCTTGGCGACATCCCTCGAGGGCAATTCCAAGCCAACGGCTCCTCATCCATCGGCTTAAAAACCGCGATGCGCGATTTGCCGGTCGCATCGCGAAGCATATAAGTTCCTCCAGAACCGTCCGGGGTAATTTCAGGAGCCTGGCCGGCTAATAATCCTGCGCTAACATCAGCTAAGGTTCTTTGTACAGCAGCACTCTCTGCAGGGTTACTACACCCAAAACCAGTTGACTCGACTATTGGAAAGCTATCGGTCTTTAGGAGAGTGCTATCGGTACTAGTCCTAGTTGCGAGGCCGTGGCACGAATGAAGCCGTCGCTCAAACAACCGAAGGTTAGTTTTGCCAGCGTTATCTACCGGGAAGCACGGCTGGGCGACTGACTGCACGGTGGTCAACGACGGAGAGACGGACTGGGCAATGACCGTCAACGACGGAGTCATGGACTGGACAATGGCCGCCATTTTCGTCGGAAGTTAACGCTTAGCGGTAACGATGATAGTACACCTGTTCTCCGGTATTTCCACACCCCCTATCTTCACGCCCTGGGGTACCTACCCTCGTAAGAATCTGATTTCAAAGGTAGTTAGAAACGAACGCGGGAGTTTCGAAGTAAAGACACGACCTCAATGCGAGTTTAACACTCAGACATTATGGCACTGGGAATTTTCCCCGCTCACCCTGATTACAAATTAGAGTTTCGAATGGCCAGAACCTGACGGCTCTTTACTGATAGACCCGTAGTGTCAGGGTGTCCGTCTCATCGATCCTCAAGCCGTATAGGGTGTCTGGCAAAAACGAGGGTAGGGGGTGTGGAAATACCGGAGAACAGGTGTACAATGCCACGGCCGACGACAAGGGAGGGTGGAGGTGGTGTTGGTGGTGTGGAATGGATTGTCTTCACAGCATTTCACAAAAGCTGTGCTGTGGCGTGCTGAACCTAGAGACCGAGCACATAGGTGGAGGTGGTGTGGTGGTGCTGCTGAGGCTCGAGTGAGGCTTGAGTGAGGCTTGGCTAGGTGGGCCAGGAGCAGAAGTAGCAGCTAGGGTTTCAAACTGGCTCTCTTATTTTTCAGAGTTGTTTACTCTGTCGAAGGCTCGCGAACAAACCTGCCTACCCAAGCCAGTCCCTTCCGTAGCGAGCGACCCGTCAGTGTCCAAATTTGGTCGTCAAATTTTAGGGAAATACACTGCCAAAAAGCAGAGCAAGTCGTTGGGATTGGGTTGGGGCTGTTAACCATCAACGTGATTGGTTGCGCACGTCAGATACAGTCACACACACGCACGAGCAGCAGCAAAAAAATCGCGCAGTCGCACAGGTGGCAGAAAAGTCCACAATGTTCGCAGAACCTGATGCTTGGCTTCCAAGGTGGTCCTGGAGCCCGAGTTGCCCTCGTGATGCGTGAACCGCGCTGTACTCGCGTATGCACCATATACACACTAACACCAATGCAAATCGAATTTATATAATATAATATACAATGGTAGTAATAGTGATACACTGATTTGTCAGAGAACCGTTTGAAAAAAAGTGTCAGCACTGACGGATCAATTTTTCCCCGAATTGAATCTAAGGGCCTGGTTGCTATGCAACTCAAAATGTCTTATTTTTAGACACAAAAAAATCTGCTATACGGTTACGGTATGTCCAGTATCAGGCCAGCAGCAGTACGGTCATTCCAGTGTCAGCAGTATCCGGCCTTATCTCACACAATCGCATGTTTCTACAGCTCGCATTGCCCATGTGCAATTATGAAAAGAAAGTTGAGGAACCTTGGAAGCGGTAATGCACAAATGAACATTATGAACCCAACCCATAAGATTTACAGTATATGCAGAGTTCTGTTGTTGGCAGCTTCTCCCTTGAGGGAGCATGAGGGGCACTACGTAAGCGTTTAGATACTCTAGTGGGCCTTGGACTCAAAGTAGTCGTCTAGGATTTCACCCAGACAGTAAATAACATCACCGTCCGCTGCTCCACTCAGCGCCTTCTCTTCCGCACGTGCCAGCATGTCTTCTAACGCGGATGGAACCTCGGGATCGTCGCGAACCATCATGGAGCCAATCTCGAAGACAGTTCGATTTGCAGCCGAACCCTTCTTGAGCAGGAGCGTCGCCGCGCGAAACACGCGTGCGCATGCGCCGTTCACGGCCCACCCACCCGCCTGTAGAAGCGCCAGGTCAGCTTCGGCGTCAAGCCTCTCAATATAGTTCCTGACATCCTCGCTTAGAGGCTGCTTCGCTTGAGGCCAGTACAACCATTCAAATGTACAGTCTTCCAACGTCTCCGGAAGGCAATATCCGTGGTCGATTGGGATGAGCTTCAAATCTGCGCCGTCGCTTTTCACCAGGATGTTGGCGCCGTTTCGGTCCGTGTTCGCCAGCCGCATATCCAGAGTAGCAATCTTGTGAACCTCAGAAGCAGCGAACCGAGACGGACCCATGTCCTCGCAGTTGCTTATGGCGGGGACAAATTGCTGCAGCGAACCAATTTTCCTTGAACCAAACTCAGCGGAAGACAAGCCGCCTAGAATTGAAACTGGAGAACCCAATGACGACGCGAAGAATTTGATGTCGCATGTAACCAACGCGGTTCGCGGCACTCCTGCGAAACCCTCTGCGTCGCCTTCGCGAAGTGGATGGTCCAGAAGATACGCCGCAACTTCGCGAAACGCGCCTTCGCCAACGCGAGTCCCACGCTTCAATCCTTCGCCCGTTTCGCTCGGCGGCATCCCGCGAGGGCAATTCCAGGCCAGCGGCTCCTCATCCATTGGCTTGAAAACCGCAATGCGCGACTCGCCGGTCGCATTGCGAAGCATGTAGGTACCGCCAGAACCGTCCGGAGTAATTTCAGGAACCTGACCAGCTAACAATCCCAAGCTGACGTCAGCCAAGGCACTCTGTACAGCAGCGCTCTCTACAGGACTCCTACAGCCAAAACCAGTTGACTCAACTATTGAAAAACCATTGGTCTCAAGGAGAGTGCTGTCGGTACTGGTCCTTGCTGCGACCGCGTGGCACGGGTGAAGCCGTTGCTGGAACGACCGGAGGTCATTTTTGCAACCGTTATCGAGCGGGAAGCACGGCTGCGCGACTGACTGTGCGCTGGTCAACGACGGAGACATGGAGTGCACAATGATCGCCATTTTTGTTGGAAGTTAAGCCTTAGCCCAGTGACTTGCTAAGAAATGATGGCAGGGATGAAGAGAAAGGGAGGGTGGACTGAACTTAGGCGTTCAGATGAAGGTGGTGCTGTGGTGTTGAGGACTGAACTTCAGTGTTTCCCACAATTAGCACAATGTTGCGCTGTTGAGCCCAGAGACTGATTGCTAAGGCGGGGCTGTGTGAGAGCATAAACTCGTGCGGTGCTGTTCCTCGGCCTAGGGTGAAGCTTGGCAGTGGGCAAGTTGGGGAAGCTGCTTTGGGGTTTCAAACTGGCGGTCTTTCTTCAGGGAAGTTTACCTTTGATTACCCCGTCTGCAGCTGTTTAGAACACTGCTGACCTGTCCCTATTCGACCGCGAATGCCGTCCAGGTTGATTTCCACGCAGCTGTATCCAGTTTGCTGGTTTCAGTCAATGACGTGAAAGAATTCTTCAGCGAACTACCCAGACTGGACCTCCAGATCCGTTCTCAGTGTGAACTTTTTCAAAATGGATTCTCTGACGATTGGGACAATCGTGCCCAATTCTCTGGTCTTCCGTATGGAAATCAGATTCTCAAAAGAAATATACCCTCTATTTAGCAAAGTCTTGCCATCCACCACCTGGCCTAATGGCAGTGCGTCTAGGGATGAAAAGGATCCCTTGTTGCAAACTGAAAGAAAACCCCCATGCAGGTGGTAGGTTTTTCTGTTCATGGGCCAGCTTGCATTCCTTGGAAAGCTGGAACTGCAAAGCGTGTCATGTCTTCGACTGACTGGCGGAACGGGTAGAGGCAAGCTGGAAGATGTGGGTCAGCAATCAACCACGCTATTGATTATGAATGTGATTGGTCGCATACGTCGAACACCGTCACTCATATGCATTTCATACGTCGGATTCGGTCACATGCACGTGAAGAACCGAGCAGCCGCACGAAATTCGAACAGATTCGCACAGTTAACGAGGAACTAGCGACGTTCGCAGAACCCGGAGCTTGGCTTCTTGGAAGTCCTGCAACTCGGTTTGACCCCATGACGAGGATGGCAGAACCTTGTGCATACATAAGCTAACAACACATATGTAAAACACTTACAATTGGCAGATACGGTACTTAATGGTTTAATGTAAAACAGGTACCATAAAAACATCAGTTAATTTAGAAAAAAAATTCATTGCTTTTTGATTTGTTTCATTATAATGTTTTAACCAATGTACTTGGATAGATGAGGGCGTTTGTAACTGCTTATCTTTTTGCAGTTATATCAGCATTTAGTGTATATCTAGTGCAACCTCAGGTAGAGAGGAACGCACTACTGTCATAGAAAAGCTGCCTGGGTGCTCGCGCCAACCCACTGTCGCTGGACACCGAATTCAAACTTTGGCGGGAGACCCTCGAAACTGCAGCTGCCTGGCGCGCGGTTCCAACTTTTCGCCGTTTTTTCCAAAGGAAGCACCCTGCAACACCACACCACCACACCACACCACATCCAAATAGGCCACACCAGATCACCCCTGGTTCGCTACCACCACGCCTGCTCCCAAACCTTTAGATATGTGGCTCGTTTTTGGCCCCGTTTGCGGCTATGCATCAAAACCCGAACCGAGCCAAACCAAAACCAAACGATAGGTTTGGTTTTCCGCACCAAACCAGTCATGGGCCCTGATCGGTAGCCCTTCTACTCCGAGTTGGTGGGCTTCGTGGGGGTTCACTAACTCCCCCTTCGCACGTGTGTCTGATACAGTCACACTGACGTGGCCACTCGGAGTAAGAAAAAATGGACAAACGATCGGAGTTAGGGTTACTCTGAGTACGCCTCCACCGAACCCTCCGGAATGCTTCCAACACGGGCAAAGTTTACTCCGAGTAAGGCCTCCCACAACTCCACGATTTTGGCGGAGGACTCCTGGCTTACTCGGAGTTAGGCATCAAGGGGTAAACCCAACTAGGATCCCGAATTGGTTTTTTTTTACCGGGACTACCTCGAAGCACGCGGTAAAATCTTCCCGTCCCGGTGGTTGATGGTGCCATTTTGGAGCCACGGTATTCCCAGTGCCGAAATTTTTTTTATTGGTGGCGTGTGGGGCAGTCTGGGCTGAACGCAACAGTGAGACACACGATATCACATTCCCCACCCCCGCAACTTCCCAACTCGGAGTAACGGGGGAGAGCCGATCACCCAATGGATTTGGGAAATTACAGCAGGAGATGGGAAGCACCCACGGACACGTGCACGCTCGTGTGAGTCGGACTACCCCCCCGAGCATGCCAACGCGACCAAAGTTTACTCGGAGTTAGGGCTACCGATCAGGCCCATGGTAGTCTCGATGGGGAATTTTCTGTCAGACCTTGGGGAAGTTGCAGCAATTTGGCCGACTCGAGCTCAACACCCTTCTCGCCTGCACATGTTTGTTTCGAATTCTGAATTGAAGGGCCCAGCACAGCAGCACCCTGTCTGTCACACTCACACACCACAGATGAACTCATTTCCTGATTGCCACTTCGAGGAACCACGATTTTCCGATTCTTGAGTCTGCAGGCATGTCCCAGGCTTGCGTACAACGCCGTGAAGCGTGCTTAGATACGTTCTGACTGAAAATAACAACTCGGAATATTTTATTGTGATATTGATTTTAGGCCTTATTGGAGAATCAAGCAAGTCCGAGTAGGAGTCCTAGGATACTTCATACTCAGTCAAGGCTCACGACGCAGCGCTAGCCGTGATTCATACGACAATGTCACAAAACCGTAATTTCTGAGCAATACTTCCTCGTTAAGGCAATCAGCAGCAATGAAGAATTCCATCAGCAAGCAGATTGGGAAGTCGCCAGTATTGAAACCGCGACCCCTCAGTTCCTCCATTAGCCCTCGGAAGGATTCGCGCGGCGGTCTAGCAAGCCCTAGAAAGGGGATTCTTTCGACTGGCAGTGGTCGAAGCTCGCGCGGGGAAACGAGGAACGGAGCTGGGAAGGAGAACAGCAACGGCGGGAAGAACGGCGAGCAGAACGCCAGCAGGTCAGCAGCATCAGCAGCATCAGCAGCAGCAGCAGCAGCAGCATCAAAAGTTTCCGATCGTTCTTTGACCCGGGGTTCTGCTTTCGCTGGTGGGAACGGGAAGACCCAGCAGACGAGTGGGAATCGAGGGAACTGCGCGAGCGAAGGCCGGGATAGCTTCCGGGAAAACGGACCGAAACAGACTGAGAACTGCGTGGTCGGAGGCGAGGGGAGGCGCGGAGCAAGAGAAGGAGAAGGTATTCTTCAGGAGATTAACGGGTCGGCCTACGTTCAGCCAATTCAGGAATCTCAGGTTGTAGAATCTCAAGGAAATGGAATAGGGATCAACGCAGGGATGAGCTCTGGTGGTAGATTTACCGCGGAGCAGGCTGACGTTGCAGGGGTGGATTCGCAGAGGCAGTTGACGCAGCCGGCAGGTGAATCAGGGATGGTTCTTAGCGGGAAACTGGAGGGTATTGGAGCGGGGAGATGTGTCGGCGAAGTGGAGGAGACCGTCGCTGAAGTCGCACGTGCCGTCGCAGGCGACGGCGTTGGCGACGTTACTGAAATCCCGGCGACGCCGCCGCCGACGCATCGACCGCCGAACCTGGCCCCGCTGATCGTATTCGAAGACTCGCCGTCGCTCGCCTTCAGCATATCCCCCTCTCCTTCCCTCTCCCCTTCACCCTCCTCCTCTCCCGTGCTTCCTCGCTGCCCCATTGCACCACCTGTCCCTCCTGCCCCTCCTACCCCTCTCGACACGTCAGCCCCTCCTAACCTTAATAAACTCGATGAGTTCTCCCAACTTAAAGACGCCTCCCTGAACATTCTGATTTCGATAAACGGTACCGCTTCCCCGACACCGCAGGCAGATTGCGCTCTAGGCGGTCTGCAACCGCCGCATCTGCCGCCGGAAAACCCGCGGTCAATGGCAGCTTCTTCCCGTGCCGACGTTCCTGCCGATGCAAACGCAGCATCCTGCGAATCTTCGCAAATCCCTCCTACGGTAGCCCAACAGGTGCCTCCTCAGGTGCTTTCTCAGGTAACGAGCAACCCGGGAGGCGATCCGCATGGAAGCGCTGTTTCCGCCGCGGACTCCCCAGCCTCTGCGTCTGCGAATCCAACGGCTAGTTCAGCGGCAAAGAATCTAACGGCCAGTTCAGCGGCAAATTCGCTGGCGAATCCAGCCCGCCCCCGGCTCGTGCGATCCTCCTCCTCCGACTCCTTCCATCCACCCGCCTCGCTCGGCGACGCGCCTCATAACGCGACCCGTCGGTTACCGCATGCTTCTACCCCCGGCACCCCCACAGCCTCCGGCGCCGCCGCTGGTCGCCTGTCACCGCGCCTTGGCTTTAAGTTCTTCTCCAGAGGCCACGCCAACGCGTCGCCCCTGCGCTTCCGCGGCAGAAACACCAGCGGCAGCGGCGGCGGTGGTGGTGGTGGTGGTGGTGGTGGTGGCGGCGGCGGTGGTGGTGGCGGCGGTGGTGGTGGCGGCGGCGGTGGTGGTGACGGCGGCGGTAACGGGGTAGGCTCTAGGTGCGAAGAGTGGGAGGAGATGACGCATGGACGGCCGCCGTCGCCCTTGTCGCCTTCACTCGAGGCGACTTGTAAGCAGTCACAGGGGCGGTCGCAGTCGCCGTGGTCGCGAGGGCTCAGCAGGGTTCGCGGGCTGGTGTCGCCGCGGAAGGGAAGGAGGCACGATGATGCTGCTGGTGGTGGCGGTGCTTCTGGTGGTGCTGCTGGTGGTGCTGCTGGTGGTGCTGCTGGTGGTGCTGCTGGTGGTGCTGCTGGTGGTGCTGCTGGTGGTGCTGCTGGTGGTGCTGCTGGTGGTGCTGCTGATGGTGAGGGTCATGTGGAGGAGCAGGTGGAACAGAGCAGGGCTGCTACTGCGACTGTTCCTGCTGTGGCTGATGCTGCTTCTCCTCCTGCTGCTGCGGCGCTTCCCGAGCCTCACCGCCGAGGCTTGGGCTCGCCGAGGCTGCGGGCGTGGCTCGGGTCTCCGGAAGTGCCGACGCTGCCACTGCGGCGCGGCCTGGGCGTGCGCTGGCACCGAACCTCGTCTGCTTCGGTGGTAACCGCAACCACCGTCCCCACAGCAGTTACACATGATCCCAGTGCTGATGTTTCCACTAGCAGCAATGCGGGCCCATACACAAATATGACCGTGCCTATTTTTAGTAACCCTGCTATTTCCACCAGCAGCACGAGTGCGTTCTCCAGTGCAGGCAGCAGGGCGAGAGCTGCCGCGAGTTCGGACGCAGAGTCTGCGAGACACCCGCGTCCACTGGGGGGAACGGCATTACATGGTACAGATGAACAGCTCTACCTCGCCGCCTCCTCTGCTACTGGCAAATCTGCTGCGGCTGACACATCTGTTGCTTCTGCTGCTTCTGCTGCTGCTGCTGCTGCTGGCAAGTCTGTTGCTGCCTCGTCTGCTGCGTCTGCTTCGGCTGCTTCCTCATCCCTCGCAGCGGCTGCCGCGGCGGCCATTGCGGAGTACAACGCGCTCGTGGAGCAGAGCCTCGCAGCAGCACCTGACAAAACACCTGAGGGAACACCTGAGGAAACACCTGGAGCGGCATGGGCGCCCGTGCCTGCATGCACAACGCACGACGGCACAACAGGGCCCATTCGTCCGCGTGAGCCCCTGCCCCAAAAGCTACTAGCACGAACAGTGTCAGACCCTGGGGGTGGTACTCCAGCCAAAAGACAGCAAGCCTCTGAAACGGCTGTTGCGGCTGGTGGTGAGGGTGAGGGAGGCGCGCGCAATGGGGAAGGTAGGCTGGGTGGGAGTAATGGCGGTCGTGGTGGTGGTGGTGGTAACAGTGGTGGTGTTGGTAACAGTGGTGGTGGGGGTGGCGGTAGTGGTGGTGGTGGGGGGCTGCTGAAGTGGCTATCGTGGGGAAAGGCGAAGCTAGGCGGAAAGGGGAACTTCAAGCGGCGCAAGGGGAGGGAGGAGCAGCAAGGCAGCAACGCGGAGACGAAGGAGGGGAGTGCGGAGGAGATTCAGGGGCGGGGTAGGGAGCAGAATCGGGGTAGAGAAGCGAAGGGTGGCGGCAGTGGCGGCGGCGGTGGTGGCAGCGGCAGTGGTGTGTGTGGTGTAAGGGGAGGGGGGGCTGGATGGGTAGGTGCTGGTAGTGGTGTTGCCGTCGTTGGTGGTGGTGCTGCTGCTGCTGGTAGTACTGGTGATGGTGGTGGTGGTGCTGGTGGTGGTGATGGTTATGGTGGTTCCTTTTCCGCCGGGAACGCTGCTTCAGGAGCTACTTTGGACACGTGGCTGCACGAGAACGAGGAGGATGAGGATGGAGGTGACGTGGAGGTTGCTGACGTGGAGTCGGCTGACGTGGAAGGGGTAGGTGATGATGAGGCGGAACAGAGGGATGTGGAACAGGGGGGAATGCTGGGTGAGGAGGAGGGGGAGGAGGGAGAGGAGGGCGAGAAGAGGGAGGAGGAAGAGGAGGAAGAGGAGGAAGAGGAAGATGGAAGAGATGGAGGAAGAGGAAGCGGAGGAGGAGAGGGGGGAGGAGGTGCATGTAGCAGAGGTGGAGGATGAAGCGGGAAAAAGGGGTTCGTCTGCTGGCCAGGGCGAAGGGAGAGGGGGAGTGAAGGCTGGAGGAGAGAAGGAGAGAGAAGGGGAAGGGGAGGGAGAGGGAGAAGCGGAGGGGAAGGGGAAAGGGGAGAAGGAGGGGGTTAGAGAGAGGGAGAGGACGGAGGAAGGGGAGAGTAGTGGTGTGGTGGGAGTGGGTTTGGAAGGGTTTCACTTCGACCTGACTTGCAGCCAGGCAGAGGAGGAGGACGAGGAGGAGGGGAGTGCTGACGGTGTTGCTGCAAGTAGTGCCGGAAACGCTTTTGCAACCAAAGCGCAGTCGACTAGAGGTTTGACTAGAGGTTTGAATGGTTTGACTGGTTTGCCTGGTACGGAAAGCGCTCTCAAAAAGACTTTTGAGGCGCCTCAGAATTCTGCCAGGACTGCTGGAAGCGCTTTTGCATCCCAAGCTCTGTCAACAAGAGGCTTGATTGGTGCGGGAAGCTCTCTCAAGAAAGGTGGAGAGGAGGAGGGCGAGAAGGAAGAGGAGGAGAAGGGGGGGTTAGAAGAGGAGGGAGAGGAGGAGGAAGAGGAGGAGGAAAGGGAGGACTCGGAGGAAGAGTTGAGGGAGAGGCAGCAGCAGGAGTGGCAGCGGCAGTGGCAGCTGCAGCAGCGGCGGATCGGCCTGGTGGTGGCAGGCGGGGAGGGTACAGAAGGGGGTGGTTTTAACGCAGGGAGTAGCAGTGGAGGGAAAGGGCAGGGAGATAATGTAAGGGGTACAATGCAATCTGCGCCCGCATCCCCAGCACGAGACGACTCGTGTGTGTCGTTTGCGCAGTGGGTGCATCTGCGCGGTTCCCCCTCCCGCGGCTCCCCCTCCCGCGCCTCCTCCGCCGCGCACAGCCCCGCGCCCGGGCTCCCCACGCGCGCGTCCGCCGCGGGCGCGCGCGCAGCAGCTGCTGCTGCAGCCTCGCGCGCAGCAGGCGCTGGCGCGTCTGCCAGGGGGGTAGGCGGAAACGGGGGGCGGAATCGCGCAGGTGGGGCAACAGGAAGCGATTCTATTGGTTGGGAGAGCAGAGGAGGAGGGAGCGTGGGGGGGAGTGAGGAGGAGGGGAGCGTGTTTTTTGAGTCGACTCCAAAATCAGCTGTTTTTTCAGAGAATCAGGAGGAGGGGGTGGGGAGGGAGGGAGAAGAGGAGGCAACGAGCATGCCTGTTGCAGCAGCTGAAGAGGGAACTTCATCACCACGAGCAGTTGCAGCAGCAGCAACATCCCCAGCAGCAAGAGAGTCCTCAGCAGCAGCAGCAGCAGCAGCGGCAGCAACAGCCCAAGAATCGGCATCAGCAGGAGCAGCAGCAGCAGCATCGGTGCTGCTGGCGGCACTGAAGCAGACTGCAGCAGAGGAGCAGCGTAAGGGCACGGGCGTGAGCAGCAGCGTCTCATTCCTCCCCATCCGCGCCTCCTCCCCACATGTGCGGACCAAGCAAGCCCAGGTGCAGGTGCAGGTGCAGGTGCAAGCCCAGGTGCAGGTGCAGGTGCAGGCTCATACACAACCCTCTGAGTCGACTCAAAAGGCTCAGACGCACACGCACACGCACACGCCCTCCATCCCCTTTACAAGCACCAACCCGTTCCTATGCGGCAGCGACTCGGTTGGAGACGTGCCAGGCGAAGGCACCAATGCGGGATACGGTGCTGGCTGCTTTGGCGAAGTGGGAAGCGAAGCTGCTGGTTACCCGGTTTCGTTACCTCATAATGGCATGGTTGGCATTGTCAGCACCAACCCGTTCGCAGCAGCAGCTGCAGCAGAGGCGGAGCAGGAGCGAATGCGGCAGGTGCAGCTGGGACAGGCGTTACCTGGGCAGGTTGTGTCAGTGCAGGTGCAGCCTCCGTGTGTTGGTGCAGGTGCTGCTGCCGTTCACACCAAGACACCAACGCTGCCCCCCTCCCTCTGGCCTGCATACCCTACGTCCCCATCCTCCTCCTCTCCTGCTATCCGCCCTCCCCAGTCACCTCTCCCTGTCCCTTCCGCAGCCCCTAACCCTGTCCCCGCCCCTGTCCCCGCCCCTGTCCCTGCCCTTTCCCCTGCTCCTGCCCCTGCTCCTGCTCCTGCTCCTTGCCCCTACCTCTGCCCCTGCCCCTACTCCTGCCCCTGCCTCTTCTCCCACACCTGTCTGTGCCACTGTCACTGCTCCCTCTTCTAGTGGTGCCTCCTCTATAGCCGCTGGTGCGGTTTCAACCGACCCAAACTCTCCTGCTGCAGGGGAGAGGATCTTGCAGTCGATTGAAAGGGAAGGCGAGAGCAGGGCAACAAGTGAGGGGCAGCAGGGTCCCGGCAGTGCAGGGGAAGATGGAAGGACTTCGGACTCGACTGAAAGGGAGAGGGGGAGCAGGGCGACGAGTGAGGTGCAGCAGGGGCCGGGCAGTGCAGGGAAGAAGCGAGTGCGGTTCAGAGCGGTGGATGCAGAGGGGGATCAAGCAGAGGAGGTTGGAAATCACGCAAGGGAAGACGATCAAGCCACGGAAGGTTCGCCCAGTGGTAACCAGACAGGAGCATGTAACCAGGCGAAAGGTGGTAGCCAGGCGAGGGCAGGTTCGCCTGGGCGGGTGGGGGCTGGGCGGGGAGTGGCTGCACCCCTGGGTCTTGCACAGCGCATATGCTGGGTGCCTGCTTCCGCTTCCAAAGCTGCTTCTGCTTATGCTGAAGCTGCTGATATGGGTGGGCTAAAGGAGGAGAGTGGGGCAGGGGATTCGACTCAGAAGCCAGACCAGAGAACGAACGAGAATGTTGACTTGGGTCGTCAGATTTGCCTGGAGCAGGGGAGTTGTAATGCTGCTGCTGCTGCTGCTGCTGCTGCTGCTGCTGCTGCTGCTGCTGCTGCTGCTGCTGCTGCTGCTGCCGCCCCAGCGCCTGCAACCGTTGCACCGGGTGGTAGTTCTGGTGCTCAGGAGAGTAACGGGGAAAGAGGAACGGAGGCAGTAGCAGCAGAGATGGGTGTTGTTGTTAGCCCCAGCGGCTATAGCAACACCAGCGGTGGTCGCAGCAGCAGCAGTGGCGGTGGCAGTGGCAACACCAGCAGCAACAGCAGCAGCAGTGATGTTCCGAAACTGCTAGTGCCGTGTCCCCCTGTCACCCCTCGGAACAGCTCTCCCCCTCCCATCAACCGGAGCAAGGCAGCAGGAGGGGCAGCAGCGGGAGCAGCAGCACGGGTAGCAGCAAAGGCTGCAATGGCTGCTAGGGGTATCACTGGTAGTACCATGAGAAAGTATGATAACAGCTGTGGTGCTGTCGAAAGCAGAGGTGGGGAGGAGGAGGCAAGAGGAGGGAAGGCTGATGGTGGTGGGAGTTTTGATAGAAGCAACAGCGGCAGCAGCAGAGGTGGTAACCCTGTTACTGAGGCGAATCAGGGCGGTTATGGAGCTGGAAAATTCGCCAAGGGAGAAACTGCTGCTAGTAGGGCCAGTGCTGGTCAGCAATCGAAGGTCTGTCAGCTCCCAGGCTCCTACCGCAAGCCTCGCACCGCTTCCAACCTCTTTGAACCCTCCCCTACCCCTTCCCCTTCCGCCAAATTCCCCCCTCCTGACAGCTCCTTCCCTGCGCCCAACACCGCCCCTGAGGCCTCTTCCCCCGCCCCTCCCCCCGTCCGCCCGCGCTCCCCCTCCCCCTCCGCCTCCTCTGCCCTTCTTGCAGCGCTTTCCCCCCGTAGGTCCCCCGGGAGGGTGTGGGGGGGAATGGGCAGGAGGGGGTATGAGGTGGGGGGGTTGGAGGTGTGTGAGAGTGATGGGGACGAGGAGGATGGGGGTGGGCAGGCGAGGACAGGTGCAGAGGAGTGGGAGAGGGAAGGGAGTGTGGTTGGGGAGGGGAGTGTTATGGGGGAAGGGAGTGCGGTGGGGAATGAGGAGAGAGTGGATGTGGTGTGTGAAAGAGTGGGAGGGGATGAGGGAGGAAAACGGAAGGATGAGGTTGGGGATGGAGGTAAGATGAAAATTGTTCCAATGGAGGCTGGAGAGACAGTGGAAAAAAGTGGTGTAGGTAAGGCGAAGGACGGAAGATTGAAGGGGAATTTACCCCGAACGCCTTCCCCCCCTGCAGGCCCAAAGCCCAGCACTTCTGGAAGAAGTGGGAGAGGTGGTGCGGTAACCAGCGCAGGAGCAAGAGCAGGAGCAGGAGCAGGAGCAGCAGCAGCAGGAGCAGCAGCAGGAGGAGCAGGAGGGGCAGGAGAAGCAGGGGGGAGGAGTGGGCACCGAGGGAAAGAGAACAGTGGAGAAGCTACTATGGGCCAAGAAGGGGAATCTAGGCCTGGAGATAGGCCCGGGGGAGAGGAGGTCTCTAACTGCGAGAGTGAACTAGAGGGAGGAAGTGCATCAGAGGGAGGGAATCCTCTAAAGAAGGGGATATCACTAGAAGGAGAGAGCTCGCCAGGAGGAGGAAGCCCCCGTGTGCCGTCCCCTCCCACTGGTCCCCGCCCCAAATCCCCCCTGGGGCAGCTGAACGCACGCAGGAAAGTGGCTCGGTCGCTTACAGTGGCGCTCAATAAGAGCATGTCTCTGCCCTCCCCTAAGGAGAGCAGTGGTGGCGCTGTTAATAACACCGCCAGCAGCAACACCACGACCAACAACATCGATAACACCAGCTGCAGCACCACTGCAGCTGCAACCACCAGTTGCAACACCTCTGCTGCCGCCGCCGCCACCAGCTGCAGCAGCATCCGTAGTGACAGCAGCAGGAACTCTCTCCCTGCTTCCACTGCAACCCAGCCTGTCTCTGGTTCGACAGGGAAACAGCTGCTTCAATTGCCTCAGAAACAGCTACTCCCCCTAGTGCCCCCACGAAAGCCCTTGCTTCTGAATAGAGGCAATATAGGAAGGCTGGGGCCAGCAGCAGCGCCTCCTGGTGCATCCGCTACCCCACCCATTGCTGCTGGAAAAACTGCCACGTCACCCCGGAAATCCGCTGACGTGTCTCTGAAATCTCCTGGCGGTACGAAAGCTGCCACGTCACTGCGGAGATGTGCGTTTGGGCGGTCGACTCCTGCCCCTCCTGTGCGGTCCAAATCTGGCGGTTCTCCTGGCAGGCGGGCTTTGTCCCCAGGTGCGGGTAAGCAGGCGGCGTTGTCCGTCTCTGTCTGCTCTGCCAACTCCGTTGGCTCGATTGTGTCTCCTTGCACCTCCTCACCTGCAGCAGCTGCGAGTGCTAGTGCTGGTGCTGGTGCTAGTGCTGGTGCTGCTGACGCTGCAAGGAAGGCTGAGAGTGAGGGTGCATTCACGTACAGTATGGTTGATGATGGTCTGGTTACCAGCAGCAGCATTCGAAGCAGCGCAACCACCGCCAGCACATGCACGACCAGGAAGCCGACTGCCGTAGCTGTGGGGGAGGATTGTGCTGATAGTGCTGGAGGTGTGAGGGATGGTAGCAGTGTGGTGGGTCCACAGGAGGATGTGAAAGGAAGCAGGTTGAGCATCAGTGACGGTGGAAGCAATACTCGGACGTGACATCCACAAATTTAATGTGAGTTCCACTTGCGTGATTTTTTATGTAAGCTTAATGCTTGTCCTATTATGATGTTCTCATATCTACTTTGTGTTTGCTCTGCAGAAATATGGCGCTGACAGCCGTTTCTTTGGAGTTAAGCTCTTCAATCAATACATTCCTTGGCTTGCTAAGAAGTGTCTTGGCCTACCTACTTGCACTAGTCTAGTTTCATATGTACTGGATAGCTAATTAGTATAGAATGCACCGTAGGTTATATCTTTTAGTCACTACCCTTAATTTTGGACTCATTAGTGCCTTGTAGCGGTTACAGCATCACGCTGCCAGCTCATTATTCGCGAGAATGACGTGTCCCGGATTTGTATCCGGCCAAATCCGAACGTTGACGGTAACTTGAACCCAATCGGCACAACTGGTGCATTGAATGGCCTATCCGTCAAATGTCCGTCAATGTGCCTTGGGAATCTCCCAACTAGTTTCTACTCGCAGAAGAGCTCGTTGCACCGCATTGTGGTACGGTCACTAAGGATGTAAACCTAGCGTTCCTCGAAGACATGGCGGTCTGGTGCGATGCGAGGAACCAAAGACGCTCGCGCCAGCACGGAAAAGGGAGGTCCCTCGTCCGTCGAAAATCCTTCGGCAAACCTCGTCCATGCCTCGTCGAAGCATGCGCAGCCTCTCAGACTCCCTCGATATCATATCACGGTTATGCGACGCGGGTTTTTTTCACCACCTTTCCGCCATGACGGAAACACCACGGCGGAACCTTGAGCCCGTTGCGACAGCGCTAGCTCTGGCTCGAATGGCTTCAGAAGCCTACTAGGTGGCTGTTTCCGCGGACAGGCGTACTCGCGTGCGGGAGCGTCTTCTTATATAGTAGCCCACTTGGTCCCTTCTCGAGCATAAGTTGGATATTATTCGTTTTTTTACTGTGAGATTCTCGCAACAGTCTGCGAGTCTCTTCCAAGCAAAAGTCAAGACCTTCGAGTGAAGGATTTTCGAGAGAAGAGCTGCCGTCGCGTCGCCACAGCATGTCGGACATTCCTGAAGCTTCGCAGAAATCGTGTCGCAGCATTATGACGATCGCTCCTCCAGGTTCTTGTAACGAGCTTGCGGTAGAGCTCGCGCTCGAGCGGATCTCGTGGGTTCGCGATCTCGTCAGATGCTCAACAGTCAGCAAGGCTTGGGCTGACGCCGTTGCGCGAAGCGTGCTGCACGTGAGGGTTGACTGCACGAGCGGAGGCGTATTCGGGCTTGCCTCCGTTTCCGACGGAAGTGACAGTGACGAAGGATCCAATAACGAGTACAAAAGCGATGGGCTTACGTACAAGACGTTTCTTCAGGCCATTCGAGTTTTCCGGCAGCTGACGTCACTCACGGTTACCAGCTTCCATCAGGCGTTCGGCGACGCGTTTCTTGAAACCCTAGCATCTTCCTGCCCTGTTCTCCAAGTCCTGGACCTCTCCTGCATGTGCTATGGCGAAGGCGACGACGAGGTTACCAGCTGGGGGTTGAATTCGCTGTTCGTGAGGTGTCTCCAGCTGAAACGGCTCTCTTTGCAACTCGGTCATGATGGTAACGTCGGCCACGTCAGCGCTAAGCAGAAAATCTCTGGAGGACCGAGGGCTGCTTGTAGTGCGTCTGCGTGGAGCCGACGTGGCCATGCTGACGTGGCATGGAGCGACTCCGCACTGACTATTCCCTCCTCGATAATGCAGCTGTCTTCTTTGGAAGCTCTGGAGATTCAAACGGACAGATGCGTGGTCTTGGGATTGGATCACCATTACCATGATCGATCCAGTGGAAGATTTCGGCAGTGTGATTCAACCACAGCCATGATAATCGAGCATCTCAGCATCGGCTGTCCTTCAGACGCATCGCCACACTGCCGACCTTTCCTGCCATCCTCAATCACTCGGTTGCAGCTGTTGTCATCGCATCACATCATCCTTCCTGACATCTCCTGTGGTCAGCCCAGTTGTCATTCCAATCATCGGTGCAATTCTCACTGCAATTATCACTCCGACTTTCCAGACCAGGCTCAGGTTGCCGCTCTTGCTTCAGCTTCCCCCACTAATCCCCAACCCACTGCAACCATCTGGTGGCCTCGACTCAAATCCGTGAAGCTCAGCAATTGCTGTGACGTCATGTTTTCCAAACTAGCATCGCTCTTCCGTCAGGAGCTGACGTCAATGAGCCTGTCAGCCAATCCTGCAACCAGGTGTGACATTTGGAGCCACGCTAGTGGTTCCACTACTCCCAGCGTTGCTTCAGCTAAGGGATCCGATGGATTTGGCGCTATTGGGGCTGCGAGCTGCAATGTTGGTTCCCCGGAGCAGCCTTGCAGCAGCTTGGTGCTTCCAGCCATATTAAGCATTTCAAGATTCCGAATCTCCCACGCAGAGACAGACACAGAACCACTTGTTTCCATGCACCCTGCTCCCACATTCTTCTTTCCTACAACCCTCACCTCTTTGTATTCTCGGATCCGTTCACTGCACCTGGACCAGTGCCCCGACGCTGTCCTGCCTCCGTCCCTCTTCCCCTCTCTCACACGCCTGACTGCCCTCTCCTTCTCCTACTGCCGTCATCTGAAGGCCCTGCCACTGACCATCAGTCTCCTCTCCTGCCTCACGTCCCTTCACATGCATGCATGTCATGCTGTGGAATCCCTCCCCCTTGAAGCCCTCTGTCTGCCAGGACTCAGGTCCATGCGGCTCACCAATTGCAGGAGATTGGAAAGTGTCGGGAGAAGTTTCAGGAGCGCTGGAAATGGTGGGAGTTCTGGTGGGAGTGGTGATGGTTGCAATGGTCCTGTTGCGATACAGGAGGTGGTTTTGCGGGAGTGCGCTGGGTTGCGTTATGTTAACTGGGAGGCTTTATTGGGGAAGACACTGCAGGGTTCAGCGAATGTGGCTGTTGAGGTGAATGTTGAAGGGTGCTGCGAGTTGAGAGGCTTGGATAATGTCACACGTATGATTGGGAGCTCTAGTGGTGGCATTATTTTTCCAGATGGAGCCAAGTGGTATTCCCAGAATGGAAGAATGTGTAGAAGCCATTCCCCTCCAGAGATGTCGGGTGGCATGGATAGATGCATCGTAATTCAAATGTAGCGAATGTTGTATACTAATAAAAGGCATATCAATTTGCGTTGTGCATATAATAGCACATTTTTCAAGAAGGTTGTACGACCATCTGAGATTTTTTTTTTTTCGGAATTTGACATCAGCTGGATTAGTTTTTTTTTGTGATTTTTTTTCCAGAAGCTATAATACGAAATATCGGAGCATTTCTAGCGAAGTTTTTCTGCGCAAGTGCATGTTCGCCACGTGGCATGTACACCAACCACTGGCGGCCATCCAGCTCCATTCACTGCCTTCATTCATGACACGGGGACTGGAACCTGCCATGTCTGTCTCCTCTTAATTCGAAACGTCACGGTCTTTCACGGTCTTCGGCGGTTCAGATTGTAACCGTGCTCAACCGTGAGGGAACAAACGGAACCTACTTGAAAGATATGCAAGTCTCACACACATCACGAGCTAGCGCATAATTTGAGCCGCTCCATTCTAGGTGCAAACTTCAATTTGCAAAAACATATTTTAGCCTGACAAACAGTTGCTTGACATTCCTCTTCCTCGCTGCCCTTACAGTGGATCCGTTTCGCTCAGTAAATAATAGTAGCTGGCCGTTCCGCTTCTTGTTAGTGTGACTGTTTTCTATAAGGCGCGATGAAGGCACTCACCGCGTCAGTGCCCCGTCTAACGAGGCGCAATATAACGAGCCAACTTTTCTCAAGCAGCGCAGAAATTGACCCGTTGGATCTGTATCCGCTGCTTGTGTCGCGATTCGCTTCGATCGCGACGATCTCGAGGGGCTACTCCGCGTCGAGCCGCGGTGCTGACACCGAAGGAGCAGCATCACCTGACAGCGCATCGTCAGCGGGGAGAAAGGTCGGCGCGGGAGGCGCGGATCCGAACAAAGAAGGGCGCGAGGCGTTGCAGAGCAACCCCGTGGCGGCGCGGCTTCGGAGTCGAGGCGTGATCCGATTCGATGGTCGCGATGCGATCAACTTCCTGCAGGGCCTGCTGACGAATGACGTCACCCCGTTCCTCCAGCAGCCTCCCCCAGTGCCCTCCCCCGTCCCCACGCCGAATCAACCCGCCAGCGTGCATCTGCCAATCTACTCCGCGCTCCTCTCCCCCCAAGGCCGGTTTCTCTTCGACCTCTTCCTCTACCGACCGCCACACGCGGTAAGCCATCTGGTGGTCGCATCCCCCCTTTCCCGCCGCGCCCCCCCACCCCTCCTCCGCCCACCCCCTTCCACCACCTCCGTCCGTCCACCTTCATGTATGGAAGCTAGCACTCTTTTCTCCTCCACCCAGTTACCTGAAACGTTTAATTAATGGGGCGTCTTAAAAGGTGCAGATTCTGGTCTGTATGACCTTTTCCTGTACCAACCTCCATATATGAAACGAAGCACTCTCTCTTCATTCGTCCCAGAGTCAACGAATCCATCATTATTATCTTTCCATGATGCAGTCTCTTTCGTCTTGGTTACCTCTGACGCTTGTCCGTGCATAATTGGAAATAAACACGTGCTTTACCACGTGGAAATACCCCACGCTAATTCGTTTCTCTACAGGATGCAGTGTCAAGTCGGCTGGATCCCACTGGAGCCGCCTGAGCTGCTGGCGGATGTAGATGCAGCGAACCTGGACGACCTGCTGGCTCACCTGAAGAAGTGAGGATTTTTTGTGTGTGTTCTTTTTCCAGTCTTTTTTTTTTTTTTTTTTTTTTTTGGGGTCTACTTATGATTTTCATACCGCAATCATTAGTGTACTCTTGATTGCTTTTCGCAACCCAGTTTCCATTCTCTCCTTCATTTGCTCGTCCTTGTCGGCCCCACCCCTTATCCACAGACACAAGCTGCGTGCCAACGTGTCATTCGCTGACGTGTCATCTGACGTGGCAGTGTGGGCGCACTTCCACTCGCGCCTCTCCTCTGACCCGGCGCTACCAGACGAGGCAGCAGCAGGGGAGGGTGTGGGATGGGGCGGCCGGGTGGATCAGCTGGGAGAGCTGACAGCAGAGGCGACAAGAGAAGGGTGGCGGTGGCACCGCGATCCGAGATTGCCTGGCTTGGGGCTGCGAGGGCTCTTCCCTGCTACTGAAATCCGTGAGTAACCAAGGGGGTGGGATGGGGCGGCAGAGTGGATCAGCTGGGAGAGCTCACAGCTGAGGCGACAAGGGAGGGGTGGCGCTGGCATCGCGATCCGAGGCTGCCTGGACTGGGCCTCAGAGGGCTGTTTCCTGCCAGTGAAATCCGTGAGTACCCAAGGGGTGTGGTGGGGTGTGGTGGGGTGGGGTGGAGTGGGGTGGGGCGGCCCGAGTGGATCAGCTGGGAGAGCTGACAGCAGAGGCGACAAGAGAAGGGTGGCGGTTGCACCGCGATCCGAGATTGCCTGGTTTGGGCCTAAGAGCGCTGCTCCCCTCCCCTCCAGCGAAATCCGTAAGTTACCTCTGAAGCAACTGGGCTGGGGTTGGAAGGGGAGGGATCAGCTGGGAGGGGGTGCGGCGGCCGGGCGGACCAGCTGGGAGGGCTCACAGCCGTGGCGACCAGGGAGGGATGGTGGTGGCATTGCGACCCCAGGCTGCCTGGCTTGGGCCTAAGAGGGCTGTTCCCCTCCAGCGACTTTTGAGGCGCCTCAAAAGGCTGCCTGGATTGGGTGTGCGAGGGCTCTTCCCTGCCAGTGAATTGCGTAAGTTGACTCTGAGGGGTGGGGTGGGGTGGGGTGGGGTGGGGTGGGCGGGCGGATCTGCTGGGAGCGGTGACAGCTGAGGCGACAAGAGAGGCACGGGATAAAAGTGATGTTTTGAGACGTCTCAAAACAAGAGAGGCACGGGATAAAAGTGATGTTTTGAGACGTCTCAAAACAAGAGAGGCACGTGATAAAAGTGATGTTTTGAGACGTCTCAAAACAAGAGAGGCACGGGATAAAAGTGATGTTTTGAGACGTCTCAAAACAAGAGAGGCACGGGATAAAAGTGATGTTTTGAGACGTCTCAAAACAAGAGAGGCACGGGATAAAAGTGATGTTTTGAGACGTCTCAAAACAAGAGAGGCACGGGATAAAAGTGATGTTTTGAGACGTCTCAAAACAAGAGAGGCACGTGATAAAAGTGATGTTTTGAGACGTCTCAAAACAAGAGAGGCACGGGATAAAAGTGATGTTTTGAGACGTCTCAAAACAAGAGAGGCACGGGATAAAAGTGATGTTTTGAGACGTCTCAAAACAAGAGAGGCACGGGATAAAAGTGATGTTTTGAGACGTCTCAAAACAAGAGAGGCACGGGATAAAAGTGATGTTTTGAGACGTCTCAAAACAAGAGAGGCACGGGATAAAAGTGATGTTTTGAGACGTCTCAAAACAAGAGAGGCACGGGATAAAAGTGATGTTTTGAGACGTCTCAAAACAAGAGAGGCACGGGATAAAAGTGATGTTTTGAGACGTCTCAAAACAAGAGAGGGGGGGCGGTGGTATCACTACCTGACTTTTGAGTCGACTCAAGAGGTGGTATCACGACCTGAGAGTACCTGGCTTGGCTTGGGGCTGAGAAGAAGGCTCTTCCCTTTTAGTGAAATTCGTAAGTGACTGATGAAGGGGAAGTGGGGAAGGAGGGGTGTAGTGGGCGCATGGATGAAATAGGAGAGATGATGGCAACAGAAAGAAAGCAAAGCAATTTGTTCACGGTTTGTTATGTGGGAGTTCTTTTTTCCTTGCATTTTGAATCTGTTATTCTCCTTGGTCTCTATTTTCTTTCCGTACTTTCTCCCCCTCCCTCGCTTTCCAGCTCCATTGGTGGAAGCACAGGTGGTAGAGAGGGAGGAGAGGCAGTTCCGATAATCTGTTACGGAGGTGTGCACAACGGTGCACAGAGATATTTAACGGTGCTCTTTCCTCTTTCACCCAACCCCCTTCAACCCGCCACCAGCCCCATTGGTGGATGCACAGGTGGAAGAGGAGGAGGAGAGCTACAGGAGGTTCCGAAAGGGATTTGGGGTGGTGCTGTGTGATTGTTAATGGTTCTATTTCTTTTTCTCTCCCTTCACTTCCTACCAGCCCCATTGGTGGACGCACAGGTGGAAGAGGAGGAGGAGAGCTACAGGAGGTTCCGATTTGCACTGGGCGTGGCGGAGGGGTGTGAAGAGATGCCCAGAGGTATGCAGAGCGGTGCGAGGCGATGCCCATAGCCAGAAGTGTGTGTCACATCCAGTCAAAGTGGTTGAGACCTGTTTGTTGGGGTTGATATCTTAAATCAGACAGGGATCGAGATTGTTCTGCCCAAGCTCTTTTGAACTGAAGGCGTTTTGAAACGAAGGAGTTTTGAAGTGAAGGCGTTTTGAAGTGAAGGCGTTTCTGCCATCATGTAAAGCCCTTCCACTGGAATGACTTTTGAGTCGACTCAAAAGTCACCTCGTTTTGCAAGTGAAGGAGTTTCTGCCATCATGTAAAGCCCTTCCACTGGAATGACTTTTCAGTCGACTCAAAAGTCACCTCGTTTTGCAAGTGAAGGAGTTTCTGCCATCATGCAAAGCCCTTCCACTGGAATGACTTTTGAGTCGACTCAAAAATGACCTCGTTTTGCAAGTGAAGGCGTTTTGAAGTGAAGGAGTTTCTGCCATCATGTAAAACCCTTCCACTGGAATGCAACCTGGCAGCCCTGCACGCCATCAGCTTCATTAAGGGATGCTACGTGGGGCAGAAGCTCACTGCCAGGAGCTCACTGCCAGGAGCTCACTGCCAGGAGCTCACTGCCAGGAGCTCACTGCCAGGAGCTCACTGCCAGGAGCTCACTGCCAGGAGCTCACTGCCAGGAGCTCACTGCCAGGAGCTCACTGCCAGGAGCTCACTGCCAGGACGCACTGCACTCAATCACACCCAAGCTCCCTTCCCCCTTCATTGTTTGTTTTGCTTCTCAGGTGAGGCATTACCACTGGAGTGCAACCTAGCAGCGCTCCATGCCATCAGCTTCACCAAGGGGTGCTACGTGGGGCAGGAGCTCACTGCTCGCACCCACCACAGGGGCGTGGTGAGAAAGCGACTCATGCCAGTCCAATTCGTGCCGCCCGGGGAAGGAGGTGGAGAAGGGGGTGAGGTGGATGGTGGGGAGGAGGTGAGGGAGGGGAGTGAGGAGGTATCAGTGCCTTCAGGGGCTGAGATAGTGGACATGGTTTCTGGGAAGGCTGTTGGACGAGTGAATGCGGTCCTGTGCGGTTCTGATGGTGATGGCAGTGGTTGTGGAGCTGCTGCTGGTGGTTCAAAGGAGTTGACTGGTTTGGCATTGCTGCGATTGGCTCACGGCCTCAACCCGGGTTCACAGCTGGCAGTGAAAGCAGAGAAGGGGGCAACTCTGAAAGTTTTGCCGAGCCGCCCGTACTGGTGGCCCAGGGAGTGGGGCAGCGAGGAAAAATAGTGCAGGTGGAGGCTGGTTGGGTGTATGTGGAGAGATGGAATTCAACGAGCAGATATTTCACCCATTGTAACCCCTATTCATTGTTCGAATGGTTCACACATGATAACACCAACCAATTCTGATGGGGTTAGCACTAACGGATGAATGATTGCACTACACCTTTAGGGCATGTTGCTATTTGCGGTGCACTGCATTGGCTCGGGACGTTTGGAAGGCTCCAGGCACGCAGGAGGCCAAACCCGGGCACTGATTTGGGAAGGTTAGATTAGGACATACGGTAGAATTTCGCGCGTTTTCTGTAAAATTTTAACGGCTTTTGTTTTCATGGACCCGTGCCCCGAGCCGAGCCGATGCAATGCACCGCGAAGTTGCAACACGTCCTTATATCGCATGTCGTATCCAGTGCACACTGTATTTGGGTTTAGAAAGAATTGACATTATATTTACAGTGTACTCTTCTGCATCATATTTATAGGGGTTTAAGGTAAGGTGTACGATACTTATCCAGTCACCTCAGAACATAGGTTGCGTGCGTGTGAAGCTCTATTTCCTTCGAAGCCAATAGCAGGGCAGTCATCTAGCCACGTGTCCAAGATCCGAGGCTACGGTGTGACCACCTCGACTGTACGTAAGAGACACGCCATCGTCACGTCACACGTCTCTTCAGAATTTTCTCTGCCCACAGCCACTTGGGTGATTTCCAGCATCTTTCCTTCTGGGCAATGCATCTCCCGCGGTGAGCACTGACCAGCAAAAACGGCCTGGTGAGTGTAAGCGGGCAGGATCAAGCCAAACGGAATAGTCGAGACTCAACTCGAATCTTCCAAATGTGCAACGTTCATCCGTCAGATCCGCAGCACCCGCTTCGAGACGGTTGTAGAACCGTCGGATCGCTTACGGTTGGCTATTTTAGCCTCGTGGAAATTCTCTAACGGGAAACTCGTATTAGAAACTCTGCGGAGGTGCGGTGTAGGTGCGAAAAGGGGGGTGCGCTGCGTGCCAATGGTTGTGCGCGGCGCGAATGTCAGCCAGCTCCATCACCTCAAATTTGTTATCTGCTCTGCTCTGCTCCATCCACTTCCTCCCTCCTGCCCAATTCCTCCCCTCCCTCACACACCACCAACCACATCTCCTCTCATGCTCTTATGAAATCGAGACCACGGCCGCAGATGCGAGATTCGAATTTCGTGCACATCTGCGCATTTTCTCTGTTCTAAATTTGACAGCAGGGCGCAAGTTGTCGGCAGCAGCCGTCCATACCTCCACGGTCCCGGCCATACACCACACTTCGTTTGGCCAGGAAGGCAGCAGAACTGAGGGTGACGCGTGAGGTTCCCTTGACCCTTGACCTTCCACTTACCGCTAGAAGGACTTTTCGCCTGCAGGGTCCATTCTGATTGGTTGGTTTTCATCCTCGTGACGAAGCAGACTGGAAAGTCGGAACAGCAGCAGCATCTAGACGCAGGTGGTTCTCGTAGTAGATGCGGATAATAGTCAGCCTGTAGTTCTCCGCATCTCGGGTTTCGCACGCTACCCCTCCTGCCATCTGACACGTCACGTCACCCGTGTCAAGCCGAAGCAGTCCGCTCAACGTTTGAAGTGAACCTGACACAGGATCTAGTTTCGTCGCCGAGGCCGCGCTTCTGCTTTTATAACCCCAGTCATACGTAGATCATCCGTCGCTCTTGTCTGCTGCTTCGGACGGCAATCTCTTCAGGATTTCTGAAGCCTGCGCTTCTCCACCCGTGTTTCTCACACATTTTGAGGTGTGAGGTCCAACCGACCAGGCGCCATGCCAGGCCTGCTCAGCATTCTATCGTCCCAGAGCTCCTCTCGCTTCGCCCACGCTTTCAGCAAGGAGACTCGTTTGTCGACCGCGGAAAGTGCCTCTGTCAATGTCCCCGCAAATCTCAGCCTTCTTTTAGGCCCCGCCGCGGTTCCTGCGTTCTTGCAGCAGTCGCCGGCGTTCCGTCAACAACACGTTCCTTCGTTCCCGCCGCATTTACAGCACAACGTTTTTCAACCTCCGCAAATGACGGTCGCGCAACAGGCGGTCCCTCGCGGGAGCGATTCTCCGCGCATCTCCGCAGATCCCGCCGGTCGTTGCGGGCTGCATCTAATTCGCGGCGACGCGTTCGACCTCCGGCCGCAAGACTCGTCGGTCATGCCGATAGCTGGCGCTGACGTGTCTGGCGCTGACGTGGCCGCTGACATCCCCTCCTCGATCCAGCTGGACGATTTGATTTCCGAGTATCTCGAAGAAGGCGATGAGGATCGCGACGCGTTCGATGGCTTGATGCTGAGAACAGGGGTTCAGGGAGTTGCGGCATCAACTACTGTGCGCTCTGCGCATCGTCCAGCACAGCCGAACCTGGCAGCGGATTATCTGGACAGGCAGATGCAATTGACGGAGCAAAATCAACTTCGTTTGATTCAGGTACGGCACCGCCTCACCTCCTCACCTCCTCCGCCATCCGCCATCCGCCAGCATTTTCCGTCATCTGTTGTTGCTCGGTCTGTGCCCTCTCGAGGATTCTCATTACTGATGCCTTTCTCCGTGTTTCGCGCTGTTTCCCGCCGCAGTCGCTTGCAGCCATGGATGGCCCCGTCGAGCGCGCCCTCTACGCTGACGTCATCGCCGCGATGACCGACGCGCGCGCGTGCCACTCCGCGAATGCCGGCGCTGCGATATCGTCGCGCGACGACGACGTCCAGTCGCAGGAGCTGCGAGGGAGCAGCCTGAACGCGGCGGTCGCAGGGCGACTGCGTGCGATGGGGTACGACGCGGCGGTGTGCACGACGCAGTGGGACACCTCTCCCGCCATTCCCGAGGGTAAGTCACTCCTCGAGCCTCGGAAAGTGTTTTGGGACGAGCTCCTTGCTTTAGATAGCCTGAGTGTAGCCTGAGTGCCCAAATCGATACAAAATCGCGATTTCCATAATTTAGTTCTTACTCTGTTTTCCCTCGCACGGATCCCTCATATCGCGCTGCACTCTGCGTTTTTGCACCAGCTTACCAGAATCCTGTTTCTCTGTCTCCCTGTCGTTCGTTCCCACAGGATCATACGAGTACATTGACGTTGTTGCCTTCGCGCCCGGCCCGCCCGCCTCCTCGCACGCATTCGGCTCTGCCTCTTCCTGTTCCACCCTCGTCGATCCCACCGTTCCACCGTTTCCTCCCACCGTTTCGGGGATTGACAGCGCACCCTCCCCTCCCACCTTCACACGGACCAGCTCCCCCACCACTGTTAGCCGCGCCTCCCCTTTCCCGACTAGCGTCTCCTCCGCTTCCGCCAACGGCGCTCCCGTCGCCTCCGCTTCCTCCCTCCCCCCCGTTCCCGCCGTTCCCCAACGCTTCATCATAGACGTTGATTTCCGCGCGCAGTTCCAGATCGCACGGCCCACGCGCGAGTACGCGGCCGCGCTCGAATCCACGCCGTTGATCTTCGTGGGGCGGGCGGAGCGGCTGGCGCGGCTGGTGGAGGTGGTATCTGGCGCGATGCGCGGGGCTTTAAGGGCGCAGGGCATGCACGTTCCGCCGTGGCGCAAGGGGGAGTATCTTCATGCTAAGTGGTTGGCTGCGGTCAGTAGGAGAGTGGCCTTCGAGGTGAAGGGGGTGGAGAAGATGGGAGAGGAGGGGAAGAGCGTAGTGGGAGAAGAAGGAATGGAGGGTAAGGATAAGGATAAGGAGAAGGCGGTAGTGGATGATGGTGACTATGGTTGCTATCAGGACGCTTCAACCCTCTGTGTAGTCACCACCCCTACGGTGACTGCTGACTGCTCTGTTGATGTCGCGGCTGCTCCTGCTGCTAGCCCATTTGCTGCTCGTGCCGCCCCACATGCTGCCACTGCTGCTCCACCTGGACGCTTCCACGCGTCTGCCGTTTCTAGCATGATGGCAGATGCTGCCGTGGCCGCTCTCTCTTCGCGCCAGCAGCAGCAGCAGCCGCAGCAGCAGCAGCAGCGCCATCCGCAATTCGCGACTGGCTCTGATGCTTGTCTTTTCCAAGCCCGCTTCGTTCCTGCAAGACGGTTCTCCGCCCTCCAGCGGTGCGTCCGAGCAGGGGGGGTTTGAGTTGACTCAAAGCGCACCCGCATATGATGACCTGCGTCATGCCAGCAGCAGCGCCACCAACAAATCGCGACTGGAGTGGATGCTCTTCTTTTCCAAGGCCGCCTTGTTGCTACAAGACGGTTCCCTGCCCTTCAGCAATGCGCTGGATCAGGGTGGGCGGTGATGCTGCAGGCAGGCATTCCCCGAGCTGGGAGTGCGGGCGAGGGGTTGCTAGCTGGGAGTTGGTAGCTTTGCCCGCTCTTGACAGCATGCCTATAGTGCGACTAAGTTATGTGAGCGTGATGAGCTTTCAGGGGCGGCTCACTCCCCCAGTGACCACTTCTTCAGCAGCAGCAGTGGGATGAGACAGACACAGAGCAGCAGGTGCCCTCACCCATTGATGCGGGAGGTGCACGTGTGTGTTCCCTCCTATGGCGAGCCAGCTGAAGTTTTCGCTGCGCTGCAGCAATTTTGACACCAGCTTCTGGTTTACCCACTAGAGCTGCCAATTTTGATAGTTAAGATAGTATTTCCACTTAGCTTTGATGCTTGGTTGTTTCTACGATTTCAGAGTGTACGATATATTGTACACCATGGACCCTAGATAAATTGTCCCAAGTACCATGTCTCCCATCGATGACAAGCACACATCCCATGTCCCACTACTACCATAGAGCCTATGCATTCATTGAAGACTGCACCTTTGTATGAACTTGTATGGCTATAAGGTGACCAGGGTTAAGGGTTCGACAATGAAAAAAAGCAGCATATGGGAAAGGGCATTTCCTAATTGGGCACGGTGATACCGAGAAGTCATGAGTTCTTGTAGAGTAGACAGTGTGATCTAGTCTCTAAAGAAACCGCCTAACGGTGACATTGAGAATCTTGATGTCTTCATATGGTCCGAGTCTAGACATTGTGCAATCCACTACAAGCACGATTCAAAAATCGCTCTCAAAACGAATGGCCCTACTTGGGCACGGTGACATTGAGAATCTTGATATCTTCATATGGCTTGTCATGACTCATGACAATCCGCTAAGCATGTTATGTAAGTACGGTAACACTCAAAACGAGCGGTCCTACTTGGGCACGGTGACGTTGAGGATCTTGATATCTTCATATGGCTTGTCGTTCCGATCCACCTTGACCTTCTCAATAAGCTGATGCAAGAAAGGGAGGAGAGGAGGAACGGGTAGAGAGGGGAAGGGGGCAGAAAAGAGAAGCATTTTGAGAAACAGCCTCCCAACAAAGGCGTGTCGGACCGTGGCCTTCTTAATAAGCTGATGCAAGAAAGGAGCACGGGTAGTGGAGAGTGGGTAGTGGGTAGTGGGGAGTGGGGAGTGGGGAGTGGGGAGTGGGGAGTGGGGAGTGGGGAGTGGGGAGTGGGGAGTGGGGAGTGGGGAGTGGGGAGGTGGTGTGTGCTTGTTGTCAAGCCAAGGCGTGGCAGCAGTGGTGATGAAGATTGCAAAATGCATCAACCATCTGCAACCATCTGCAACCATCTGTACTCCTCCAAAATACTTGCTCTCCCTCACCTGCACAACGTCCATGCCCTTAACCACCCGCCCGAACACGGTGTGCTTGTTGTCAAGCCAGGGCGTGGCGACAGTGGTGATGAAGAACTGGCTGCCGTTGGTGTTGGGGCCTGCATTGGCCATCGATAGCGTGAAGGGGCGATCGTGACGCAGACTGCAAGGGAGGGAGAGGGGAGGGGAGGGCAGAGGAGGGGAGGGCAGAGGAGGGGAGGGCAGAGGAGGGGGGCAAGTGGAGAGAAAGGAAGGCAGGTGGGGAACAGGAAGGTGAAGAAGGAGCATCGGATGAGTTCCACAAGAGGTGGGTTGGAGGGGGGGATGGAAAGGGGTGGAAAGGAGTGAAGGTGAAGAAGGAGCATCGGCATTGGTTAGAAGAATTGGCTGCCGTTGGTAGAGTGACAATCGTGCTGCAGACTGCCCAGGGGGGAGGAAGAGGGGATGGGAATATTGAGAAGAGAGGAAGAGAAGAAGGGAGGGGACGGCAAGAGAAAGGGGGAAGACGGTGGGGAGAAGAGAGAATGAGGAAGGAGCTTACACACGCTCAGACATACACATACACACAGTCGCACATACACACTCATACACATACTCATACACACACTCATACACACACTCATACACACACTCATACACATACTCATACACATACTCATACACATACTCATACACACATCGTGTCGAGAAACGCTAGCAGAAAGTTAGAAACAGAAAGAGGGCGTTGCACTAGCAGCAGATAGGATACATATAGCAAACCCTAATTTGGGCTGTACTCACTTTAGAATACCCCACTATAGACTAGACAATTATAGCATTCTGACAACTCGCACATACACACTCATGCACATACTCATACACACACTCATGCAGACACTCATACGCACACATACACACACTCATACACACACACAGACTCCTTCTCACTCCTCCCCACCTCCCTCCCCACCCCCCTCCCCACCAGCTCCCACCCCCTCCAACCCACCTCTTGTGGAACTCGTCGGCAAACTCGCCTCCCCAGATGCTCTGGCCGCCCGTGCCATTGCCCACCTGCACACACCTACCCGCATAGAACCTATCTCCACCCCTCTCCACTCCTTTCCACCCTTTTCCACCCCCCCTCCAACCCACCTCTTGTGAAACTCGTCTGCGAATTCGCCGCCCCAGATGCTCTGGCCGCCCGTGCCATCGCCCAGGGGACAGCCGGTTTGCACCATGAAGCCCTTGATGACGCGGTGGAACAGCAGCCCCTCGTAGTACCCGTTGCTGCAGTGCGTCGTGAAGTTTTCCACAGTGCGCGGGCACTCTTCTGGGTATAGCTTCAAGTGTATGTCGCCCATCGTCGTGTGCATGACCTGTGGGGGGCGAGGAGGCGGGTGGATGAATTAAAAAGAGGGAAAATGAATTGGGGGGGGGGGGGGCATTGGGGGTGGAACAGAAGCCCCTCCTAGTACCCGTTGCTGCAGTGCGTGGTGAAATTCTCTACCGTTCGCGGGCACTCCTCGGGGTAGAGCTTCAGATGGATGTCACCCAGGGTGGTGTGCATGACCTGTGGGGGACGGGAGGGGAAGAAAGGGTGAAGGAGAAAGGGTGAAGGAGAAAGGGTGAAGGAGAAAGGGTGAAGGAGAAAGGGTGAAGGAGAAAGGGTGAAGGAGAAAGAAAGAGGGTAAATGAAGCCCTTGATGACGCGGTGGAACAGCAGCCCTGAGTAGCACCCGTTGCTGCAGTGTGTGGTGAAATTCTCGACTGTGCGCGGGCACTCTTCTGGGTGGAGTTTTAGATGGATATCATCAATGTCCTATGCATGACCTGTGTGTGGGGGGGGGGAAGATGGGTGGAGGGTAGCGGAAGGAGAAAGAGCATGGCTCGCAAGGGGTGGCGGAGGGAAGAACCGTTGATCACAAGGGGTGGAACAGCAACTCCTCGTGGTACCCGTTGCTGCAGTGTGTGGTGAAGCTTTCGATTGCTTGAGGGCACTCCTCTGGGTAAAGCTTCAGATGGATGTCTCTCATTGTCGTGTGCAAGACCTGTAGGGGGGCAAGGAGGTGAAAGGGAGACACTCACTCACTCACTCACTCACTCACTCACTCACTCACTCACTCACTCGACATCATGATTTTCCAAAACTACTCAACGCAAGAGACTCGATTCACCATGCTGCCCTTGAACACACTGAAGACGTCTCATCACTCAGACGTCAATCCATGATATTGCACTGGACATATCATAAAGTCAATCCAGAGCAACGCACTCACCACACTGTCAGGCAAAGCGGGCGCTCCGGTTCTTGCCACATCTGCCGATGCAAGCATCTCTTGCTGCTTCCTCTTAACAAGCCACTATACACAAACCTAGTACCATACCGTTCCATCGACACACAATACAAGACACTCACCACACTGTCAGGCAAAGCGGACGCTCCCGTTCTTGCCACATCTGCCAATGCGAGCATCTCCTCCGGTGGAGGCTTCTCGTTAAACACGTCCCTGCCCTGTGATGGCTCCTCTCCTTCCTCTGGCTCTCGCTGACTGGCATGGGTGGAGAGGGGTGCAGAGGGATGCAGAGGGGTGGAGGGGGATGGGGAGGGGCCACAACATGTCTATTGGTGGAGGCTTCTAGTTGAACACGTCCCTGCCCTCTGATAGCTCCTCCCCTTCCTCTGGAGAGGGGTGGAGGGGGATGGAGAAGGGTCACAACATCTCTAGTTGAACACGTCCCTGCTCTGCGATTTGGTTTTTGAGAATTCTCAAAAACCAACTCGTCCCTGCTCTGCGATGGCTCCTCCCTCCCCTCCGGTTTCTGCCGACTGGTGGTGATGCAGCATTGAAAGCGGTGATGTTACAGGCAATCACGGTGGTGTCCACAGAAGGCCTCCCCTTGGCATCCTGTGAATTCGCAATGGTCACCATCTTCCTTATCCGCCTCGCCCCTCCACTTGCTTGCTGCAGCCCCTTCACTCCCTAGTGCTACAGTGCTACCTTGGAATCACTTTGAGAATTCTCACAAGTGATTTCAATATACCCTTCACTCCCTAGTGCTACAGTGCTACCTTGGAATTACTTTTGAGAATTCTCACAAGTGATTTCAATATACCCTTCACTCCCTAGTGCTACAGTGCTACCTTGGAATCACGTCTGAGAATTCTCACAAGTGATTTCAATATACCCTTCACTCCCTAGTGCTACAGTGCTACCTACGGGTATGGCCAGGACAGGAATGCTCACAACACAACAAGCACCCACCTGAAGAGATAGAAACGCTGCTTCTTGAAGGCACAGGCAATCACGGTGGGGTCCACTGACGGCCCACCCTTAGCGTCTTGGGAATTCGCCATGGTCGCCAGCTTCCTTATCCGCCTCGCCGCCTTGCCTTGCCCCCCTGATACAGCTATGCGCACCTACTGCTACGCCACTGGTGATCCACTAACCTGAAGAGGTAGAAGCGTTGCTTCTTGAACGCACAGGCGATCACAGTAGGATCCACTGACGGGCCCCCCTTGGCGTCCTGGGAATTCGCGATGGTCGCCAGCTTCCTTATCCGCCTGGCCGCCTTGCCCCCCTGGTCTGGTACAGCAGCACCTCATCTCACCCCCTACTGCTGCTAGAGGCTGGGATGTTCACAGCAGGCGCGGCACCCACCCACCTGAAGAGGTAGAACCGCTGCTTTTTGAAGGCACACGCAATCACGGTGGGATCCACTGATGGCCCGCCCTTGGCGTCCTGCGAGTTGGCAATGGTCGCCAGCTTCCTTATCCGCCTGGCCGCCTTGCCCCCCTGGTCTGGTACAGCAGCACCTCATCTCACCCCCTACTGCTGCTAGAGGCTGGGATGTTCACAGCAGGCGCGGCACCCACCCACCTGAAGAGGTAGAACCGCTGCTTTTTGAAGGCACACGCAATCACGGTGGGGTCCACTGACGGCCCACCCTTAGCGTCTTGGGAATTCGCAATGGTCGCTAGCTTCCTTATCCGCCTGGCCGCCTTGCCCCCCTGATACAGCGCAAGTCGCAGGAACCGCTCGTTGCTCTCCACTTTCCCCAGGATTCGTGCTACCTTGTTCTCATGCAAATTCACCACCTGAGGGGTGGAAGGGGTAGGGACTTGAGATATAATCAGCCTTATCCGCCTTGCTGGTACAGAGCGATGCTTCCTTATCCGCCTCGCTGCCTCGCCTTGCCCCCCTGATTCAACGGCAGGCGGAGAAACCGCTCGTTGCTCTCCACCTTCCCCAGAATGCATGCCACCTTGGTCTCGTGCAGGTTCACTACCTGCGGGGTGGGGAAGGGGTGGGAGGAGGGGACTTGAGACGAGCAGCAGAACGAGAGAAAACGGGTGCACTCACGCTGAAAATCTTCCCCGTTGAGATAGTCGTTAAACACGGCAATTAATTAGCATCGTCTAGAACCACGGAATTTCCGACGTCATGTGCGCAAGCCCCGATTCGCGCAAAACTCCAACCTGGACTTCGATATTGGAGTCGACACAAAGATCGACTCATCACAAGCCGTGATTTGCGCAGAACTTTTGAGAATTCTCAAAATCGGCTCATCACAAGCCGCGATTGTCTCCAGCCCCGATTCGCGCAGAACTCCATCGACCACCATGATTCCGACGATTCCGACGAGTATTGCAACGACCACCATGTGGCTATGAATGCCGCTCGCTCGCAGCCCGGGAGCTCTCCACTTTCCCAAGGATCCGCGTTGTCTTTTGAGTCGATTCAAAAGGATCCGCACCATCTTGTTTGGATTGAGAGCAAGCAATGTGCGAATCTGCATCCGCAAGCATGCAGATTGGCACGCTTGCTGCCTCGTCTCGCCGATTTCTCTCTCTGAATCTCCTCACTGAAATCCTTTTTCTCCAAGCCTTTCTCTGGTTGCCCATGTGGAAGCGAACGAGCTCGGAGCAAAGCCCATGACCCCACCTTTATCCCCAATAGCGTCGGGTAAATGATGAAATTGCCCGTCTCGTCAAAGACGGCATTGGGCGACGGCACGTCGTCGTTGCTCTCCCTCTCCCTCTCCATCTCCCTTTCAACTGCCAACCGCCTCCCAAAGTCGATGGCGTCCAGCCGGTACAACGGCACGTCCCCTCTCTGTAACTCCTGTGCTGCCTGCACAAGGAGTAAACCGAGAGAATCATTACAAGTGAGTGACGAGTCTCTATTCCTCTCCCTCTCAATTTCTCGTTCCACCGCCAACCGTCTCCCAAAGTCGATCGCGTCTAGCCGATACAACGGCACGTTCCCTCTTTGCAACTCCTGTGCTGCCTGCAGGGAGGATACCGAGAGAATTATGACACGTGACTGACAAGTCTCTATTCCTCTCCCTCTCCATTTCTTGTTCCACCGCCAACCGGCTTCCAAAGTCGGTCATGTATAGCCGGTACAAAGGCACGTCTCCCCTCTGTAGCCCCTGTGCTGCCTGGAAGGAAAAGGAGGCGGGAATGGGAGCAAACAGGTGTGGGTGCGAACGGGAATGAGAGTGGACGGGAGCTGTTTTTTTTTTTTTTTTTCCGATATGAACACATATACGAACACATATATGAACACATATATGAACACATATATGAACGCATATATGAACACATATATGAACACATATATGAATGGATATACGAACGCATATGCACGTACCTCCAGTGATTCGTCGTAAGTCCTTCTGAGCTTGCCAGTTGCAAACCAAAACACCCGGATTCGCCGGTCCGGAGACACAGTGGCGAACTGGGTGCCGTCTGGAGAGATCTGATGGCGGGGACCGGGTGGGAGGGCAGGGGGAGGGGGAGAGGGGGAGAGGTGGGGGGAAATGAACGAGCATTTTGAGCTCGCCAGTGGCGAACAAGAACACTCAGATTCGCCTGTCCGGAGACACAGTGGCGAACTGGGTGCCGTCTGGAGAGATCTGATGGGGGGATGAGGGGGGAGGGGGATGGAGAGCAAACCAGTTGCGGGCATTCTGAGCTCGCCAGTGGCTAACCAAAAGACTTGACTCGCATGCGCCGGTCTGGAGACACAGTGGCGAACTGGGTGCCGTCTGGAGAGATCTGACAGGGGGAAAGGAGAGAGGAGCGGGAGGGAAACGGGTGCTCTCAGTCTGTGGCGAATCAGAAAAACCGAATGCTCTGATCTTGCAATACAGATGCAGTCCGAGAGCTATCTAGGGAGATCTGACGAGAGGAGAATGTGGGGCGAGCTAGCAACGAGAGGAGGGAAAGAGGGTGGGGAGAGAGAGAGGGTGAGGAAAGCATGCGGCGGTGATAGAGTGGGTTGGATTGATTGGGGTTTGGTTGGGTTGGGTTGGGTTGGGTTGGGTTGCTGTTTCTCACCTCCAAAGAAGGAGCAGTAGTCTTCGCCTTTGCTAGTGCATAGAGGTCCGTGTCTGTCTTGTACTTGAAGCGAACGCTGGAAAGGGATGGAGAGAGGTTGGCAACGGTGGAGAGCAGTGAGCTGGGCGCATAGCAAACACTGGCAAGGTAGGTCTTGGCCTTTGCTAGTGCATAGAGGTCCGTGTCTGTCTTGTACTTGAAGCGCACACTGGGAGAGGGGGGGGGGGGGGGGGATTGGTGGAGAGGAGTGAGCTGTGGCAGGATAGGAGATCTTGGAGTCCTGGCCTATGGTGGTGCATAGTGGTCTGTGTCTGTCGTGTACTTGAAGCGCACACTGGAAAGGGATAGAGAGGAGTGCAGAACAGTGGAGAAAAGTGGACCGAGACAGTAGAAAAGAAGCAAAGGTCACCTTGACTCAGAGTTGAAGGGCTGCAGTAGTTGTAAAGACGCTTAAGAAAAGTGGATCGGGACAGTAGAAAAGAAGCAAACTTGGATGAGGAGATGGATGTGGAAGGGGAGGAGGGAGAGGAGGGAGAGGAGGGAGAGGAGGGAGAGGAGGGAGAGGAGGGAGAGGAGGGAGAGGAGGGAGAGGAGGGAGAGGAGGGAGAGGAGGGAGAGGAGGGAGAGGAGGGAGAGGAGGGAGAGGAGGGAGAGGAGGGAGAGGAGGGAGAGGAGGGAGAGGAGGGAGAGGAGGGAGAGGAGGAGAGGGGGAAAAAATTGAAAGTGTGAAGAATAATCCCACCTCGCTCCAAATAGACCTTCACCTTAATCATGCACCTTTCCTGGATGATTACTTTCGATGGAAGGGTGGTTACACTTTCCCTTCACCTCTCTCCAAATAGACCTTCACCTTCCTGCAGCCCTGCTGCTGCTGCTGCTGCTGCCCAGTTACACTGCCCTGCTGCTGCTGCTGCCTCAAGGCTGACGAAGGGAAAGTGTAACCACCACTCTCCGAGCTCAATCAATCATCCCACTCACATCAGTCGAAACCACTGCATTCGAGGCGCCTAAAAAATTGCGGGTAGAGAGACAACTTTTGAGGCGCCTAAAAAAATGCGGGTAGAAAGACGACTTTTGAGGCGCCTAAAAAATTTGTGGGTAGAGAGACGACTTTTGAGGCGCCTCAGAAACCACCACTCTCCGAGCTCCAGTAATCAATCATGCCACTCGCATCGGCCGAAACCACCGCATTCGCCGCCACGTTAAACTGCATCGCGATCACCGGCGCCCCGTGCACGTTCACCCACCCCACCCACATGCACTATGCACCATGCAACATGCACCTACTGCTACCTATTGCATACCTTGACGAAGGAAACGTGTACGTGTCAGCGCTCCAATACTCGATCATCCCACTCGCATCAGCCGAAACCACCGCATTCGCCGCCACATTAAACTGCATCGCCACCACCGGCGCCCCGTGCACCCTCACCCGCCCCACAGGCTCGTTCGTGCCGCCCCGGGCATCAAACACGTGGATTTCCGGCGAGTTCTTATCCGCTATAGCGAGTTTCGCTATAGCGTTGTCGGGCTTGAAGAGGAAGCACACGGCTGAGGGCGCGAATGGCAGCTTGAGCATTGAGATCATGTCAAAGGTTGCCACGTCAAATATTTTTGCTGCCTTGTCCTGCGAGCAGATGGTGCTGCACAGTGTGCCGTCCGCACTGACCTGGTAGGGAGAAGGAGAGGGGTGGAGAGGGGGTGGAAGGGGCGTTGTGGGGCTTGAAGAGGAAGCAGAGGACGGAGGGTTCGAAGGGCAGCTTGAGCATTAAGATCATGTCGAAAGTGGCTACATCGAATATTTTTGCGGCTTTGTCCGGAGACGAGGTGGTGCTGCAGAGCGTGCCATCCGCACTCACTTGATGGAAGTGGGGTGTGGAAGGGGAAGGGGGACAGGGGGAGAACAGGGGTTATGGGCTAACAAGGTTGCCACATCGAATATCTTGGCTGCCTTGTCCTGCGAGTATATTGTGCTGCAGAGCGTGCCGTCCGCACTCACATGATGGGAGGGAAGGGGAGGGAGGGTGGCGAGAGGGGAGGGCGACAAACAGACAAATGGGGAAAGGGGGGTATGAAAGACAGGCAGGCATCAACAGGCTAGCAAGGTGGCTGCATTGGAGATCTTGACTGTTTCGTCCTGAGAGGAGATGGTGCTGCAGAGCGTGCCGTCTGCACTCACCTCACCCGGTGGGAGGAGGGAGGAAACGGGGAGGAGGAGGGAAAAGGGGAGGGAAGGGAGGACGGGAAAGGAGGGGAAGGAGGGCAGGATGGGAGAGGAAGGAGAGGGAAAGGGAGGGAAGGAGGGAGGGAGGGAGGAAGGGAAGGAGGGAGCGAGGGAGCGAAGGGCAGATTGAGCATTGAGATCATGTCAAACATTGCCACGTCAACGATCTTCGCTGCTCTGTCCTGAGAGGAGATGGTGCTGCACAGCAGGGAGTGCTGTCCAATCCCCCTATCTAGACCCTCCCACACCCAACGCTGTTGTGCTCAAACCACATACCCCCACACCGTCCCACTCACCGCAAGCCCTTCAACCGGCCCCAGGTGTGCTCGGAAGTGCTTCGCAAACTCCACCCCCACTGCCTTCTTCTTCCAGAACTTGAGGTGGCCTGATTGGGTTTAGACGAAGGAAGGGGTAACAAAGGACTTACGAAGGAGTGGAATAAAAGAGGATAACAATGTTACATTACACGAAAAATCGTTGTATGGCCAGTTTCTATGGTAATTGGCAGTTGATCATGAGTTCTGGTTTGAGTTCAGCGAGGAAGACTGCTCGTGGCTCTCTGGCCCGCTGGGTTCGCGGCGCCGAAGATTGATCCATCGAGCACGAGTTCTGGAAGGACTACAGCAAATCCGAGCAGACGTGGTTGTACCTCCCGGAGGTTGCTTTCTGAAAGCCCATTGTGACTCTCACACTCGGAGCCGCACCTGCTGCCAACAGCACTCCGACCAGCACTAGCAGCCGCAACAGGTGCAGCTCCGAGTGTGAGAGCATAACAGGCTCACAGAAAGCAACACTCGGGGCGTACAGCCAGGTCTGCTCGGCTACGCTGTAGTCCTTCCAGAACTCGTGCTGGATAGACGAATCTTCAGGCGCCGCAAAGCACAGCAGGCCAAAGAGCCAAGTGCAGTCTTCCTCGCTTGGAAGAAGAAGAGTGGAAAGAAAGAGGATAACAATTTATCAACAAAAAAACAAAAAAAAAAAAACAAAAGAAGGAGAAGTGCTGTATGGAAAAAACTGTTTTTATGGTAACTGACACACTTCATGGATGAAACGCAATCTCTCCACATCATTTATGCCTGAATCCAACCCTCTCTAATCATACCGGACCCCTTTGGTTATAACGAGCCCTCTCTGGTTACGACACACCATCTTGGCCTATAACGAACCATCTCAGATAAAAACAAACCTCCTCTACAAACCCTTACTTCTCATGACGCATTATTTGTAACTATAAAGAAGCCTATCTGCTTATAACGAACCCTCTCTCTTCTAACGAAACCTTTTGAATTATAACGCACCGTCTCTGCTGCCTGTGATGAAGAAATCAGCATCTGAGACGGCCACATGCGTCACCCAGTCGCGGTGCATGTAGCTCTTCTCGTACCTGGTGAGATAAAAAGGTCAGAAACGGTACAGAGAGGTGGCATGGCGTTGAAAAACGCGGATAGAGACGGCCATGTGTGTTACCCAGTCGCGGTGCATGCAGCTCCTCTCGTACCTGGTGAGACGTGGGGTGGGAAACAAGGTGGAGAGGGGTGGAAAGGGGTGGAAAACGGTGGGTACTGCGACGAGTTGAACATCAGGTGGTTTCTAGAACTTTTACAAACCAGCTAATCTCAAACATAAAAAAATCAGAAACGTCTCATCGCTAATCTAAAATTTTCTGAGGACGGAAAGGCGTCCAGGCACTCCCTTGTGTCTTGAGACATCTCGTGTTGAATCCCAAAATTCTGACCAAGTAGTATCTCACTTCTCAAACCTTTGGAACATCTCTGTATCGAATCTCACATTTCGGCGGACGGCAGAGCATCCAGGTACACACGCTCGAACACCAGCGGCTTTTTCTTCTTCTTCGCCTTGGGAATGACGGGCCCCACTACCGGACCCAGATCCTCCCCTTCCGCCGCTTCCGCTTCCGCTTCCGCTTCCCCCGCAGTTCTCCCTTCCACCCGTTCCCCCTTACTCGGCCCAGACGCTGCTTCCGCCGTTCCCCCAGTTTCGCGGTTCTCCCGCTGCTCGCCGGCGTCTGCGCCGTCCCCCGCGCCTTCCTCCCGCTCTTTGCGCTTCCCGGAAGCGACAGCGGCAGAAGCGGAGGTAGGGTTGGGGGACGCGGCAGCGTCGGCGGAGGTGGAGGCATCGCGAGCTGCGGGACCGTCGCCGGGACGGTCGTCCGTTACAGTGCCCATCGCGGGAGACTGTCTGCGAAACGAAGGCGATTGATACGGAAAGATGTCGCACGCCGCGATGCCGCGATGTGAAATCAGTCAGCCTGAATTCACGCGATGAACGAAATTCTAACAAACGCACAATGCGACGCGTGAAATACTGTAACCAGCTTCCAGACCTAGAATTTGACCTGCAAATACTACTCGTTTTGCGACGGGTCCGTTATGAGCATAAACCTAATTAGATTGTGACAGCTAAGGTAAATATTGACCATTCCCGTTCATGTTTGTGGTAAATGCGTTTTAATCACATGCACAGAATCTCTCAAATCAAGGTTAGACCAATGGGAAGCACGTGGATGCTTCCACTTCCCCACTAATCAGGCTGGAGCCGACGTGGCGAACTTTTGCGTCCATGCTGGCTGCAGCTGACTGGCTCGTTAGAAAATCTCATCCCCAGCAGTGCTTTTCCGAAACTCACTCGGTGTAAACAAGGGTGTTGGAAACGCTAAAAAGGCGGTTCAGCGCGTTAACGTATGATGTTGGAGACCAATATCGAGGTTTCCTTGATTCTGCTCTGCTCGTCACATTTTCAATTTGCTTGAAGTTCAGAATTTGGATTCACAGGCCATTATCATTTTGAAACTTGTCTCTGAAATAGCTTGTTGGACCTTGCTGAGTTATCTCCCAAATATTCTTCGCTTGCCAGTTCTTCAGTCAACCCGTCTTTCGCAAGAACGAGAATGGAGGCTCTCGCTGCTTCCTCTGCAGTCGGGTGAGTGAAAGCCGCTCAGCATTCCGTCGCAGCGGAAGCGTAGCTAATCCACGTGCTTTTCATTCTACATTGTGAAAATTCGTGTGTGCTCCCACACCCATCCTTCCATCCTGATGGAACGGTGTCATAAATGGGTCTCTTTTCTTCATGTGCGTTCTTCTGTCATCTCCCCGCTCGCTTCCTTGCAGCTCTTCGTTGCAGCGGCTGGTCGCAAGGCAGTCGTCCAGCGTGTCTCTGCGACCCAATGCGACTGCGACCTCTTACAGGCGCTTAACCTGCACCTGCGCTGCTGCAGGTATGTGACGTTCCCGTCTAGAGACTGCCTGGTAATAATCTAGTCTTGAGACGCATCAGAATGTCACTACGCATAGGCGTTTCACGTGCACTTGCGCTGCTGCAGGCACTGGCGAGTATCGAATGCTGTAGAAACATATCCCTGACCGACACGCCACAACATATCCCTGACCGACACGCCACAACATATCCCTGACCGACACGCCACAACATATCCCTGACCGACACGCCACAACATATCCCTGACCGACACGCCACAACATATCCCTGACCGACACGCCACAACATATCCCTGACCGACACGCCACAACATATCCCTGACCGACACGCCACAACATATCCCTGACCGACACGCCACAACAAATCCCTGACCGACACGCCACAACATATCCCTGACCGACACGCCACAACATATCCCTTACCGACACGCCACAACATATCCCTGACCGACACGCCACAACATATCCCTGACCGACACTCCACAACATATCCCTGACCGACACGCCACACCTTCGTTTCTGTATATTTCTATATTATGGTATATCTGTATACTTCCCGTATTACTGTGCGAATGCAGGCGACGGCGATGCGGGTCAGTCGTCGGAGCCCAAGTGGAAGCAGAAGCTCGCAGCGGCTGAAGCTCATGCGGAGCAAACCCGGCAGGCCACCGCCCGGGTAAGATTTCATTGCGAGTAAAAACAAAATGGCAACACAGGCTATCCTCGCGAAGGTAAGATTCGATTGCGGATAAAATGAGAACAAAAAGACGGGCTACATCCAGGGTAACAAATACGAATGGGCGTAACAGACAAGCTGGAGGGATTCATTTTTTGAAGGATGAAGCGTGGGGAAGAGAGAGGGGTCTCTGATTGTCAAATCGACTTAGGGGTTTGATGTTCTTCCCCACACCCACCCAACCCGCGCACCCTCTCGCGACCAATGCAGGCGCAGGAGGAGTGTCGGGACAGGCAGGTGGCGCAATGGAAGCGCGAGATAGCTGGAGGGAGGAGAGGGGGCTCTGTGATTGACTCAGGAGTTCCGTTTTGCTCCACGTCCCGTCCTGGCCATTGCAGGCGCAGGAGGAATATCGGCGCAAGCAGATGGCGCAGCGGAAGAGTGAGGCAACGGGGGGACCAGCAGCAGGGGGAGCGGCAGCAGCAGCAGGCGCGCACCCGCGTTTGGCGGATCTAGAGTGGGTGCCATATCTTACAGAGGAGGGGCTTATATCGGATTGCACGCAAGCGGGAGCCAAGGCATCGGTGTATGGCATCTACAATGACGACAAAGTGCTACAGTACATCGGCGTGTCTCGCCAGGTGAGCAGGGTCATCAAGAGGAGACCTCTGGCTTGAATATGGGGGCGTCTGTGCGTGCAATAAGGTGACCCTCATAACGCGTCCGTCCAACGCTGATCTGCATTTTCTCCTCCTTCCCCGATCCTCAACCCCACTACATCCCCCGTCCCCACTCTGTTTCCAGGTATACCAAAGCATGCGGCTGCACTTTGCGCGGGTACCGAGCGCATGTGCGTGGATAAAGGTGACTCAAATCACGCGCGCCTCCAATCCCCGACCACCCTCCCCACTTCCTGTTCCCAGGTATACCAGAGCATGCGGCTGCACTTTGCGCGGGTGCCGGGCGCGTGTGCGTGGATAAAGGTGACTCACATCACTCGCCCCTCCAAGGCGGTACTAGAGGCAATCAAGGACCAGTGGATCGCAGAGAACGGGGTTGCTCCTCCAGGGAATGACGAGGGGCCGGAGCAGAACCGGTGGGAGAACCCCCTCGACTGCAAGCCGCTCATGACTGGTGAGTGATAGGAGGGGTCGCGCTAGGGAAGACACAGGCCTATCCCTTGACCCTCCAAGGCCGTGCTAGAGGCCATCAAGGATCAGTGGATCGCAGGGGATGACTGGTACGTGAAAGACGGCCCATCCCTATACTCTCCAAGGTCATGATAGTGGTTGTATTAAGGCCCAGTGAATTGCAAACCTCCCCTTTGGGAAATGACGAGGGGCCGGAGCAGAACACAGGGAGAACCTCTGATGCTAGCCTCTGATGACTGGTGAGTGAACTTAGGGGTTTCTCTGGTAAAGGTACATGCTGGTACAGGCCCATACCTTGACCCTCCAAGGCCATGATAGTGGTTGTATAAAGGACCAGTGGAATGCAGAGGAGAAGGCTCTTCCCCAGGGGAATGATTAGCAGTGCCAACAAGCATGTGCATTCCCCCCCGGCCTATCCGCATCTTCTTGCTTTTGTGTTGCTTCGTTTGATGCGCCTCAATAAGAGGCTTTCTGAAACCGAAATCCACCTTGGATAAATCTTAGCTTTCTGGAACCTACATGCACCTTCAATCTTTTTTTCGTCCTCTCTTTTTTTCCCGCCTTCCTTTTCAGAGGCAGAGAGGAAATCAGTGGAGTATGCTGCTCCTGGGCCGCCCAAGGCAAAGGCCCTGAAGGAGGTGGCAAGACGAGTGGAGCGCGAGCTAGAGGCGGCATTTAAAGCCAGGAATTGCAAGGAGGTGCTGCGGTTTGACCCCAAGCTGAAGGAGGACGGGTTGTTGGACCTCAAAAGCACGGCTGCTCGTGCTCCTGATACGGCTGTTCCAACTTCCACCCCCCAATCCGCCAAGGCTTGAGCGTAGTGAGGATTTGTGGATGCCATGTACCGCAATCGATATCATTCAAGGTTCGCTGTGTTGAATGTGGACACGTGATAGGATGCTGCAAGGAGATGCAGCTGTTAGATCCCAAGCTCAAGGAAGATGGGTTGTTGGATCTCAAAAGCACGGCTGCTCGGACCCCGGATACGGTTGTTCCAACTTCCACTCCCAGTCCGCCACTGCTTGAGCGAAATTGACACACGGATGCATTAGTACAACATATTACGTGCATTTGTTGTGGTAGACATGTGGTAGGAGTTTTCTACATTCTGACCAGTATGCTCTAGCGTTATACGTATAGATGGCTTGATTGGGAGGACTCACAAATTGAAGCGTTTGAACTTCACCTGTGCAGAGTGTGTATTGATTCAATAAACAGTTCCGAGCCTGCAGTAGCGCGAACCATTCGTTACCACACGACTTTCGTTATCTCCAAGTCGCACTTCTTCGTTGTCGAGATCATCGAGGGTCACACATCACCTCAGCTCACCTCATTCCTCCCGTGCCCCCACGATGCAGTTCAGACTCTAGAGCCTTCTATTCGCCACATAGTAGGCGCCTTGTCCGTCCGCATTCGGGAGCGCGACTAGGGACCGTCCGATATCCGATATCGCCGGTATTCTCACCTCATCTGTTCGAACCGAGACTCATCGCCGATTTCCGTACGAAGATCTTCGTTGTTTTTCGCCAGATACACTTCGTCCACGTACTTGAAATCATTCCTCTCGGTTCCTATCGCGTTGTCTGCGGCGGATCTTGCGGCGGATATTACGGTGGATTCAGGCTTCCCGGTCCCTCTAGCGGTCGCGATCTTTGAAGATCCGGTTTGGATTCGCGAAGTTTCGCGTCTCTCGTGTTGTGAGCTCAGCTGAGGCGAAACCGTAAATCAACAAACTAGCTTTTCGCGAACGTCGCCAACATGAGCTCGTCTGCGACAGCTGTGCTGACGAACATCGCCAGGCTCGCAATCACGCTCGGCGTGGGCGGCAGCTTGCTTAACGCGTCACTCTATACGGGTTCGTGTTACCTCGCGTCGAGATCATGCTGCGTGCATTGGCGAACGTCGCCAGAATCTCGCCCTTTCCGGTTACTAGTTCTTGGCCGACTGTTAACCCAGCATTCGCTATGCCGATGTGTTTCGGTCGAGTGGATTCCCGTCGCAATTGTCCCCTTATGAACCCTCCGTCTTTCGCAGTCGACGGCTGATATTGTCGCGGTGCTTTTAGATCGGTTCCCCGGAGTATTGGAGGAGTCGCAGGTCGAGTGGACGCAATCATGTGTCTCCCGAACCAGTTTGCGAAACCTATATCCCCGATTTTGTTTTCCAAACCATTCCTCCCCGCAGTCGACGGCGGGCATCGCGCGGTGCTGTTCGATCGGTTCCGCGGAGTGCTGGAGGAGACGCAGGGCGAGGGGACGCACTTTCTGATCCCGTGGCTGCAGAAGCCGTACATCTTCGACGTTCGCACTCGCCCCCGCTCCATCACTTCTGTTACAGGAACAAAGGGTACGTGTAATCGTTACAGGAGGAAAAATGGTGCTCGCTATAGGAACACAGGGTGAGTGCTGGAGGAGACGCAGGGCGAGGGGACTTTTTTGCTCATCCCCTCGCTGCAGAAGCGGTTCATTTCTTGCGACGCTCTCGCCCCCGCTCGATTACATCCGCTACAGGAACAAAAGGTAGGTTAAGTTTCTCTCGTTATAGGAACGAGGGGTACAAAAGGTGAGCGCTCTGGTGTACTCGTTATAAGATCAGGGGTGAGAGAAGAGACGCAGGGCGAGGGGACGCGCTTCCTCATTCCCCCTGGCTGCATCTGTCTTTCTCATTCCCGCCTTCTATCTTTGACGTCCGCACCCGTCCCTGCTCGATTACATCCGTTAGAGGAACAAAAGGTAGCATAAGTTTCTTTCGCTCCCGTCCCCTCTTCCCACCTTATTTTGGATTCCAGATCTGCATATGGTCAATCCGACGCTCCGAGTGCTGGTTAAACCAGAGACCTCCCACCTGCCTGTCCTTCGAGTTCAACACTCATAACCTCTCCCTGCCATTCCTGCCATCCCCTGCCGTCTCTGCCTCTCCCTTCCACATCTGCATATGGCCAATCTGACGCTGCGAGTGCTGTCCAAGCCAGAGACCTCCCACCTTCACACCACCATCACCTCTCAGCGCCTGTACTTCCATGCTCACGGCCCCTTACCCTTTCCTTGCTTGTTACAGATCTGCAGATGGTGAATCTGACGCTGCGAGTGCTGTCCAAGCCAGAGACCACCCACCTGCCGACCATCTTCAAGACGCTCGGAACAGATTACGACGAGAGAGTGCTGCCCTCCATCGGCAACGAAGTGCTCAAGGCTGTTGTGGTGAGCTGCTTGTAACGAGTATGATAGATTCAGGGGTCTAGCTGTAATTCAGATGAGTCCAGTCACTTGCCGACCATTATCAAGACTCTCGGCACTGATTATGACCAGAGAGTGCTGCCCTCTATTGGCAACGAGGTTCTCAAGGCTGATGTGGTGAGGCTTATAACGAGTATGTTCTGCTCTTCTCTCCTCTAGCTGTAGGCTAGAAACCATTCACCTATCGACTATTTGTCAAGACGCTGGGTACGGATTACGGCGAGAGTGTGCTGCCTTCAATTGGCAACGAAGTGCTTAAAGTTGTTGTGTTGAGCTGTTATAACGAGTATATTCTCCTCTGGCTTTTCTTAGCTGAAGCGTGTAGGTCAGAAGTCACACCCGGCCCACAGCTAGACCTTTAGGAGGATGTGGGATGGCGGGTTGCATCTGAGTAACTTTCAAGATTTTTCTAAGAGTGGCGGATTGTAATGTGAGGGTGGTTCGCTTTCATCGCTGTCTTTCTTTATCCCTCTACGTATGTGTGTGTGTGTGTGTGTGTGTGTGTGTGTGTGTGTGTGTGTGTGTGTGTGTGCGTGCGTGCGTGTGTGTGTGTGCGTGTGTGTGTGTGTGTGTGTGTGTGTGTGTGTGTGTTTTCGTTGTCCCTTTCTTTCTTTTTTTCATCTCGGCAGGCTCAATTCAACGCGGATCAGCTACTCACAGAGCGTCCATATGTGAGTGCACAGTCCATAACAAATTTTGCTTTTCAAAGTGTACAAATCGTAGAGTGAAGCTGTAATGCATCGCATACATATACATGTGTATGTATATAAGGATCATTACATACGTATAAAAACGTGGCGATTTGTAAAGTAACCCCTTCACTTGGCTTGTGTGCGAATCAACTATCAGGTGTCGAAGCTTGTGCGGGAGGCGCTGACTCAGCGAGCCAAGGACTTCAACATCGTGCTAGATGACGTGGCACTGGTGAGATGACGTGGCACTGCTGTGATGACGTGGCACTTCGGGATGACGTGGCACTTTGGGATGACTTGGCACTAGCGTGATGCGGGTGCGGAAGAGAGTGATACTGGGTTGTTTGAAGTTTTTGCGGTTCACTAAACGTCAGCAGCGTGTTCCGAAATGTCTCAATTTTGAAGACTCCCCCTTTTACTCCCCCCTTTCCAACCCCATACCCAACCGATACCCATCTGATGCCCAAAACACACCACCCATCCCATGTTCACCCGACCCCACCCAACCGCACCTTAACCAACCCACACCAGACCCATCTATTGCATGGCGTTGAGTTCTCAAGACTCGAGCAGTCATTTTTGTAGTACCCATCGCATACTCACCCTATCTTTTACTCAACCTAACCCATGCTCACCACACTCCCACCCCACCCCACTGCACCTAACCACACCAGACCCATCTGTCGTACGGCGCTGAGTTCTCCAAGGCTGTGGAGCAGAAGCAAGTTGGTGAGTAGCTTGTTGCCCTTAAAGGGCGTCCGTACAAGGTGATGTTTTGTTTTTCCTGTATTTGCATCGAAGGTAAAGCCTTTTCCTGTTCTCTTTTTACTGAGAAATCTTCTGCTTGTACTCTTCTAAATGTCGATCAGAATTAGTGTTTTTTTCCTGTGCAACTGAGTGGCTTGTGTCCCCTCCCTTTTGTCTCACTTAATCTTCCTCCCTGCAGCCCAGCAGCTCAACTCCTCCATCGCTGCCCTCCCCCCTCCACGCCTTGTCACATCCTCTCCTCTTTTTTTTTCTCTACAGCCCAGCAGGAGGCTGAGCGGTCCAAGTTTGTGGTGATGAAGGGCGGAGCGGGAGAGGAGGCGAGGCTGCCTCCCATTAAACCCACTTGCTTGTGTCCATCTCACATCGCCTTTCCCTCCCATCATCTTCCTCCCTGCAGCCCAGCAGGAGGCCGAGCGGTCCAAGTTTGTGGTTATGAAGGCGAAGCAGGAGAGGCTTGCTCTACCTACGTCTATTTCATGTCTCATTTCCTCACCTGTCCCTCCCTCCTCCCCACAGCCCAGCAGGAGGCTGAGAGGTCCAAGTTCGTGGTGATGAAGGCAGAGCAGGAGAGGCTGGCAGCGATCACACGGGCAGAGGGCGAGTCAGAGGCGGCCAAGCTGGTGGGTCTGATGAGGTGGTACTGTGCGGTGTTGGTGGGTTGCAGAGTGTGGCTTGAGGTGAGTGTGTCAATGCATGCAAGCGGCAGAGCAGGAGAGGCTGGCAGCGATCACACGGGCAGAGGGCGAGTCAGAGGCTGCCAAGCTGGTGGGTTGATGGGCAGGGAACATAGCATGGCATGGCATGGCATGGCATGGCATGGCATGGCATGGCATGGCATTGCATGGCATGGCATAGCATGGCATGGCATGGCATGGCATGGCATGGCATGGCATGGCATTGCATGGCATGGCATGGCATGGCATGGCATGCCGCGAGTGTGTGAATGCAAGAGGCAGAGCAGGAGAGGCTCGCAGCGATCACACGGGCAGAAGGGAAGTCTTAGGCGGCCAAGCTGGTGGGTTGCCGGGCTGAGCTTGGGCTGGCTGGGTGGGTGGGTAATTGGTGACATACTGTGGCATGGCGTGGCATGGCTTCACTTGTGTGTGTTTGTTAATGCAA